CAGATTGGCCTCTGGGTAGTAATCCCACGACAAAGCTTTTGTGCAAAAGTGTAAGCTGGAATAATCATTTTGGAAATGTTTTGTTTTAAAACTGATTGAAAAAAAGACTGCGAGTAAAAATCATCCGAATAATGGAACTGAGCTCCCAGATGAGATCAGCTCCGTATTTTGGTTGAAACGGTTGATGTTTGTCGAGACATTTTCTCCAATATGAAGAGCAGTTGTGGAGTGTTTACTCATAGTGAAATGCTGTACAGCTGCAAAAACATCTATGGGTCGTCCACCTATTCAAAAAAATGTACGTTACACTCTGCAGATTAACATAAAAAAGGAGAACTACTAACCATTCAGTGCCACGAAATCCACATGATTTGTGCAAATCACACCGACGGGACAGTCCCCGATCAATAGTATATTGTTCGATGTATCATTTTTTTCGTAGCAATTAAGCGTTTCTTCCCATAATCTTGAAAATAAAAACACAGTTTGACGAATCGAGTCTCACATAAGCCGGAGTATTTTTATCAATAACCGAAGTGATGTCTTCAACTATTATTTAAATAAGTAAACTTGCAATAGGCAGACATGAGGTTTTTTCCACTCCCCCTCACCTTCCTGGAAAATAGCCCTCTTTTTAAGCTCACAATAATTAAAATTTTTCAACCGGTGATTATTGCATTTTCAACCTACTTTTTCCACAATTTCTTTTCATATTATGAATCTACTTGACCAGACGTTCCCAATGATATCCCATACTTGTACATCGGATTATTAACTGAGAAGCTCAAATTTGTCTGCAGAAAAAAAACCCACCCGAGCACAAATATTCCGTTACTTTCGTATCGAAAGTCGGAACAACAAGACTGCTCGTATTAAGGCAAAGCGCTGATTGTTCCGACTGTCTTTTAAGGTCTATTGAGCAGTAATAACATGAAAAAATTTAAATGTTCTAAGCAAAAATAAAAATGGATTTTTTTGAAAATGAAATTTTTGTGAAAATCATCCCCCGCACGCCATATAAAGTACAAAGTGATAGATTTCGCTCCCATTAACAAAAACAGTTTGGCAAATAACTTTCTTTTGATGATGTGTAAGACGGATTAAATTTCCGCTTAATGTTATAAGCGCGAAATATATATTGCGCGTTAAATGTCCCGATTTTTAAAACCCCTGTAGTTTTGCAAAAAAAGATCACAGGTGAAATATCTTTTCAAATTTGAGCTCAGTACAACTATATCTTTCAAATGATGCAAAAAATTCTGTCAAAAATGGCTAGTTAAAAAGTCGAAATTTGTCTGAACAAAAAAAACCACCCGAGTACAAATATTCCGTTACTTTCGTTTCGAAAGTCGGAGCAAAAATACTCCTTTTTTCTTTTATTTTTTAGTTTGTCTTCAATATAAAACATCTGACATGCTTGCTTTTCTATCTGTTTAACTTGCAATTGCATTGAAGTCAGCATCAATTAAAATCAGGTTTAAAAAGCGGGTTCCAAGGCCACAACAAAAAGTTGCAAGGAAAAGTTCAGAACTGGCGCAAAATGACAAGCGACATGCGACTGGCTGTTACAATGGCTGGCACGTTTTTGTTTTTTGTATCTACGCAGAAGCAAAAAACGCAAAATTTGAGAACACATAAAAACCTACGCTGATTGGAAAATTTCATTGACTCATTGAGACAGCAAACAAAACCATGAATTTTGAAATCGATATAAAGCATGAACAGATACACTCTGACCATTCCAAGTAGAAGAAAAAACTTCCGCCAAAAGGTTTCTTTTCCAGAAGAAATAAATACTTGGGCGCAGAATGGGCAGTGCCTTTGTTCCCAAGTTTCCTTCTGAAGTTAATGCAGCTTTTTTATAATTGGACCTTTCTGTTTACTCACTCGCTGAACTCAGCGAATTTCGTGAGATTTTATTTTCCTAACCTCACAGATTAGTTGAAACACGAGCAGATGCGAAGTAGGAAAACTATGGACTCAATTTCCGTTTCTTGTCGTTTTTCATGATATACTGTTTTCCTATTCAAATTATTTGAATAAATCAACGACTCGATCGAATCCAGAAGTGCTCAATCCATCCATTTTCTGTCAAAAGCATATACAAAGCTAGCCAAAGGTGCTACTAACTAAAAACCACTCCCTGTTCCACTGAACTAATAGAGTTTGTAAAATTCTAACGAACACATTATATAAACGCCAATGGAAAAATGCGCACAAATCCTATTATTTTTCGACTTTCGTAACAAAAGCAACGGAATAATTGTGCTCGGGGTGGTTTTTTTCTTCAGACAAATGTCGACTTTTTAACTAGCCATTTTTGACGGAATTTTTTTTATATCATTCGAAAAGTATTGTTGTCCTGAGCTCAAAATTGAAATGATATTTCACCTGTGATCATTTTTCCTAAATTTATGGGGGTTTAAATACTGCCATTTTGAACAACTTGGGACAATTATCGCTCAATATATTTCGCACTACTGACGCGTAAGCGGAGTTTTAATTCATCTTAGACATTGTTACAAATTAGTTGAAGGAAGGTTATTTGCCATAATTGATTTTATACTAGACGCAAAATCTATCACTTTATACTTTATATAACGTTTGGGCGGATGATTTCCACATGATTTCCACAAAAAATCTCAAATGTTAATTTTTTTTCATTATTTTTCACATTTAATTTTTTCATGTTATTACTGTTCCAAAAGACGATCTAAACAATCACGGCTCTGCCCTGATGCGAGAAATCTTCTTATTTTAAATTTCAGTAGCGTGCCGAGAAATTTATCAGACGGATCTCTTTATTACGTCATCTGTCTGTCATCCGGAGTCAATTCTTATAAAGTAAATATATGTGTGTGTATATATATATATATATATATATATATATATATATATATGTATATTTAACAATCAGGTGTAAAGCTGGTCATACTGGGCCGGATGACAGACAGATGACGTATTTGTGCGTATAAAAACGTACAAAAAGTAGTAGCTCGCTGTAATTTTTTGTTGATTCGCTTAAAAAGTGTGCAAACTGTTTTTCTTTAAAATGACCTTCGAAAAATTTCATACTTTGTGTATATTTAATTTTCATTACAAAAAGAATGCTTATATAGCAAGATCTGAAATGGATCCCTACTAAAATCATGGTTTGCAGAAAACGTTTTTCTCAGCTGATTGAGTGGTAGATAAGAGTAACCCTGATGGCAATTTTCCTAGAGTAGAAACCAGGCACTGCTCAAATCAGCTAGTTTAACGCTTTAAAATTGGTTTTTTGATCCCCAAACTGAAATTGTGCTGAAAAAATTTATCTAAAAAGCGACATTTACAATACAAATGCTAACAATTAGTTTTTTTACCACTGGAACCCGCAGATAGCAAGACCTCATCCCCATGAAACAAATAGCTTGCGGTAAGCAATTTTACTCCAGTTGTAGTAGCTCACTGCAAGACTCATGAAGATTTTGCTTGAGTACAAAACTTGAAGCGACAGTAAAGTTATAATCAAAATGCTTAAAGCTACAACATGGATCTTTTTAAGAACCTAAATGAGCGATTGATATTTATTTTAAAGAAAACTTATGGTATTTATTTCCTTGCAAAAACTTAACTAAAGGAAAATTTTTGACGATCAGACCAACTTTTTTTTGTACGATCGTTAACCAATCTGTTTAAAACAGTTGTAAATCAATAAACGTTAGAAAATGGGCTTTAAATTTTCATTCTGTATAATATCTCTGTAGAAAACGATTTTAATCGCATAGTAAGTCATTAAATCAGGTAGGAGTATTCTCAATGCACTTTAAATTTACTCTAAATTTGCACAGAACCTACTTTTGAACATTTGAGCAGTTTAAAAAACCTCACAACAGTTTTGTTAAATTTTCATCTTTAAACTTTTCCTGTTACCAGTTTCTCCCAGTACATTTTTATATAACCATTCTGATCCTGCTTTATTTTTTATTAGCTATCTGTGGGATTTTTTGTTATTTTTTTTTCAACGTAAATTGTGAGACCGAACCGAATCTGATGTTTTTGTAGAAAAAAGTCGATAAACACAAAACTAAACTGAACGTTGAAATATGTACTCTCTAAATACTGCATTATGTCATTTTTGCCAACCTCAAAATAATGAAATTTATTCAATATTTAAAATGTTCTAAGCTAAAACTGATCACTAACTTTTAGGACTGTGAGATTAGCGGCAAGATGTTTTTAACGTGATTTACACATAATTTTTTAAAATTTCAAATCATTTTTGCAGTGAGACGAACGTCAAAAACTATCTTGAGGGAAATGATGCATGATCCTTAATCCATTTTTCAATTTAAGAGTATACTACATTTCTAAATAAACTGAACATAAATTTCAATTCAAACATTAGTGCTTATAATTTTTCGGAACATTGAAAGCAGGATTGTAATGATTAAGTTAACTAAATCGTAATTAATCTAGCTCAAACCTTCTTACGTTAAAATGATAATTTACGGACATTGAGGGAATTTGAAATTTTAGCAACTTTAGGAAAAAAAGAAGTTGAGAATCATAAAATTTTTCAAGCTTAAGAGAACAATAAAATAAACATTGGTCTTTTCTGTTATACGGCCAGTATCTTTTTTTTTGTTGAAAAATCGGATCAAAATTTTCAAACCAGCTTGGTCGAAGGTAATTCCTGCGATTTTTTTGGGTTTTCATTTGAAACAGATCAATTAAAACAGGAAAGAAACGAAGCGTCCGGTAACTCAGCCATTTAAAAAAAATTACAGACCATGCAGTAAAAATGGCTCTTTGACAGTTATGAAATCTCAATCTAAAATCGACAACAAACTCTTAAACATATTGCACATTTTTGATTGGTTAAGTCAGTCACAATTTGAAAATTTGGATCTCGTTAATTACCCCCCCCCCTCCCCTAGGGTGCATAGTAACGAATTTCCATCCCTGTAAAGAAATAATTCCATGGTTAAGCACATGTATATTTTGTACCTTGTAACGAATCTCTCCCCTTTTTTGTAAAAGGGTGAGGGGGGGGGGAATAGTTGAAGAGATCCGAAAATTTTTACAAAAAGAAAATAATTGAATTATTTCAGATCAAATTAAATAATGATTTGGATCAATGGTGTTTTAACAGCCAGTATATTTGAGTGACATCTATAAAAACAAAATTTCCGATAACACAAGATCGCCATTGTTAAACTTTGAGGCCGTGCAGCAAAATCAGATATTTATTTTTTCAGCCGAACTATCGGAGGCAATCTCAACAAGATATAAAGCGATTTAGCATTTCATTAAATAAATCATTAATACATTTTATGAATCTAATCATCAATTTTAATTTAACACAATTCTTTTTTATACTGTGTAGTTTCCGATTTGATAAGGAAATACTTCTAGAACGTTTTCGAAAATTTTAAGAAAAAGTTTTGAGTTTTTTGCTTGAATTAAACACAGCATTGACTCTAAAGTTACTTTACGAATGCGTGTTGCATCACAGTTTGCCTTTTTGGACAGGTGTTACGCAATAAATCATTTTGATCAGGATCATATAGAGAATTTTATCTACGCTACCATATATAACCACATTTAAATTGTCGTCTTTCTTAACGTGAAATTTGTGTATACGATTTTGTCGTGTATGACGCTGAACTTTCACTATACGACTTGTTTATTATTCATAATCCTGTTTTGACGTAACCTGTTGCAGTCATTTCTGCGTCGCTGCATCTATTTTTTGTCGTTTTTAGTGCTAGAGTCGTGGGGGGCTCATGCATTATTATTTTGTGTCGTACTAAATTGTTGAGAATCGCATGAAGCAGTGACTTTCAGTTTCGCTCGCGTCGTGTCATGTCCTCTTTTTTATGCCGTGTCGAGTGCCATTTCTATCATGTCGCATTCAGAACGAACTTCCAATCCGTAATCATATTTTAATTGAAATAAATTCAATGATCGTGCTTTTATGATTGTGCCGTGTCGTGTCGTTCGTGATCGTGTCGTGTGTCATGGTGTGTGTTTACGAGAGTAGGTCGTCGTCGTTGTCGAATCCAGTGAGACTCATAGCCCCAGTTGAGCTGATCGAACTCAGAGACATGGAGAGTAAAGTGTTCACACGCGGGGTAGTTAGCTGGGCCACACTTTGTGTCTGAAAACACAAGTTTTTTTGGTCAGTTTTTAGTTCTGATGAGCTGTAACCACACTTTGAGAGCCAATATATTACTCTTAGTAAAACAAAAGGTTTTTGGGGACTTATTAATTGATTCAAAAAAGTGTGCAGAAAAAAACGAGTAATTCACTTAACTTACAGGTGGATGTGGATGGAATTGGTGTCGAGAATTTATACTGTTTTTCTATAATTTATTTTTTGTTTCTACCATTATCAAAGAGCTGAAAGAAACTAAGGATTAGGGGCCACTTTGAACACCTCAAGATACGTGTGGTATCATATTTAAGAAATTTTTGGTGGATATATATTTTTCGTGGAATCAAAAAAGCTCTCTCAGTCTCGAGAAAAACTGAGTTTACACTGACTTTTTGATTGAAGTGAAAACACTCACCGGAGATTGGCTCGGAATGACTGTGTTGAGTAAGACATGTACGAATTTGGAGAACATCTCCACGTTGTCCATGTTGCTGCTGGCTCCACTCTTGTTGAACGACTGGGCGAAGCGCCAGAAACCACCGAACCCAATGGCCTGCACAAAATAAAAAGCCATCATAAATACTATAATTACTTATTTCGTTGTGAATTATTATTCTTAAAAATTAGTAGTTATAAATCAGCCTGTATCAAATACTATATTTTGTTATTTCGTTATAAAATAATTTCCTTATAAGTTATTAGTTCTAAATTAACCTGTAAATTGGTATGTTGACTATGATGATGCGGGGTCCCAGTGCTACTAGCATTACTGCCCCCTCCCCCATTATTATTAGCATGAATTGTGTCTTGTGCAAATATGTTGTAGATGATGCTCTGAGCTGCATTGATCAGGTCTATGTCCACACTCTGGGTCAAAGTCTGAGTCATTTTCTGGTCTATCAAGGTGTATCTGGAATAGAGAAGAGAAATGAATGGAGTGCGGTCAAAAAGTAGACATATCATTAAGTATACAAATCGTAAGACAATCTGAATTGAGATAAGAAAACAAACGTACGAGAAACTTCGATTCTGATTGGTTTACGACGTGTCTACTTTAAGACCTGTCTACACGTAATCAAAATTATTAAAAGTTTTAGGTCTGATAAAATAATTTGTCGGGACAAAAACTTTTTCTTAAATATTTTCATCACATTGTCGGCATTTTCTTCTGAGTTAGTTATATAATTTGATTTATAAAAATTCAATGATTCAAAAGCATGATACATGCACAAAAGAAGCATTGAAAACTCCACAACTATAACTCTAATAAAAAACTTTGTTTTCAAGAATTTATATTATTTTGCATTCGTTTTCTCTTTGACTATCTTTATTAAAATACCTACAAAAACTTCGGCGTAACTGAAAAAGCAATCTCATATACTGACGAAAAAAAAATCGAAATTCATCAAAATGTTACTCACACGAGGGGGAATATTCTGGGGAAGACGAGCGACGCCTCAGCTAGATACTCGAACAGCACTTTGTACTCGTTCTCATCCGCCGTGTTGCGCAACATAGTCGCCTGCAAACAAAACATCTTTTTTAATTTAAACTAATGCTTTTATTTTACGGTTCCTCTTAAATGGAAGGTACTCTTTTAATTTATCTTAAAACTGACAACCAAATTCGTTTTGTTATTTCATCTGCTCACAGAGCGCAGAAAAAACTGCCAAAATTTGATATAGAAGCCACGAGCAGCTTCGCAGCACTTGTGATAGCGCACACAGAGCATTGCAAGCTAGTAGGTAGAAAATGAGACGGAGCTAGGTAGTCGAAAAATTTTTTAAAATAAAATGTCAACAAAACTAAAATGTCAATTTTTTTTAAACTAGGTATCGATTTCTATTTCTGCCTCGTTTCGGTTCTGAGGTAGATCGGTTTCGGGTAACTGGTTAATTGACAACGCTTCATTTCATACGTTATTTACCCGTAAGTATCAGAAATAAAAATCAACAAAGAATAACGCACAGCCATAAATTTCAGCATTTAAATGCAGAATTCAGAGTAATATAAAACGCGAAATGAAAACATTAAATCAGTTTTAATCATTCAATTTTCCAACTTTTTCAATGTCTTTCTTAACTTTTGACTTCGTTCACCAGACGATTCATAGGTTACGGCCTTGAACTTTCTCGCAATGAATTTTAGCGAGAAAAATTTCGGTTTAGCTTGCGGAAGTCGAGAAACACAAAATTTTGCTTGCGTTAAATAAGCGCTTAGGCAAAATTGATTAAACAATAATTAAGTAGAAAAATCTTGGGTAGACGTCCGCTAAGCCAAAAAGTGTGTCATTAAAACATTGTGGGATCTACTTAACAATCTACCCCTTTTCAAGAAAGGGGGGGAGATTGTTAAGTAGATTGTTAAGTAGAATTTTCGACCAATCAGTATGCAGCAAAATTCGAATTTACATACAACGCTCTAGTGCGAATTTACTGTTTATATTTACAGGGGTGGAGATTCTTTAGTAGATACAGTAGGGGGTGGGAGATTGTTAAGTAGATCCCTTTTGTGCTTCAAACAGTTTAAATACTCGAGCTTGTTGCGTCCTCCGAAGCACAAAATTTCATTTGCATGTTTTCTTGACCTTTCGACACATATTATGAGGCAACAGAAAAAATTAAAAATACGCCCAAAACCATGTAGGCCGAAGAATTTTAGAGGATAAAATAGCAAAATGGAAATTATTCAAAACCTTTAAACTCAACTACCTGCATAAATTTTCAATTTTTTTTTGGAAATTTCCAAATTCCATAAAAATAAACAATGTCCAGCCGGGACTCAAACACAGTCCTTAGAATACCATTTTATCATTACGCATTTTATCAATTTTTTTTTTCACAAATCAAAAAATTAATCTGCTTGAAAAAATATTGAAACTTAATCATGGGTACCAATACGAATGTTAAAATAGACACTCTTAAATAAAAAGTAGCTGAATATTGTCAACAAAATGTGGAAATAAGATTTGACTTTGAGTCAGATTTCCCGCTAAAAAACCACCCCATCGAGAAAAACCTAGATTGTTTCCCTTGCCTAAATTATAGAAATGCAGATGCTAAGGCAATTTACCCAACAAAAAAACGAAGAGAAAATTACTTTTTAAACATTTAAAGATAACAATTCAAGTTTGGCCAGACCGGACTAGAACACATGACCTTTGTCGCCCAAAGCACGGGTGTCACTTTTTGGTGACCAAGTTATTTACTGTAGAAACCATTCTAAGTTTTTTAGACAACGCTTACTACTTGCTAGTGTAAACATCAAACATATAGAATTTTTGAGAGCAAATCTAACCAAGATGGTCAGTAGCAACAGTTTGTCATTATACTCAGGCAAAGCACTCTCGGCGAACAAATAGTCGCAGTTCTGTGCCGCCTCCTCATTGGCTGATGACTGGCCATCCTCATCTGTTGCATCATCAGTTACGTAATCACCGCCTCCACTTCTATTTCCGGCTTGTTCTCGGTTCTCATTCCTTCTTTCTGCATTGCTTTCAAAAAGTGAGTTATCGTTATCTGATTGATTGGTTCCTGTTTGTTGCGTAACATTTGCGACATTTCCTGCATTCTGATCGGTCGGATTATTCACGACTCGTGGGCTAGTTTCTGGCGAAGTGTTCATGGTGGGTGAATTGGCAGTGGTAGTCGGGGTCAGATCGCCCGAAGTGGGCTGTTCGGCAATTGTCCCATTCGTGGGCACGAATGACATACTCGGCAAGTGGTTGGATCGTAGTCGGTTGTTGAAGTGTGATCTGAAAAACAAAATTACAGTAATTGTTTCGTATTTTTATTTGACCAGAATGTCTTATAACTTTCTATAAAAACCAAAAAAAAAACATTTTTTTTCTCGAATTTTTGTTCGAAAAACGATAACTGTTTCAGCAATGTGCAAAAACTGATAAAATCTTTTTTTTCGAAATGAAGAATTTTTGAGAGAGAAAACTGAAGCTTCAGTAGTACCACAACCTAAAAATTTTTGTACAAGATTTTAAAAAATTAGTAGTCTCACCTATCGCCAAATGCTCGAAGTCCTCCGACTGTTCCTCCTCCCATACTCATGTGTCGACTATGATGGTGGTCTCTGCTCCTATCCCCCTTCCCCTCTTTGTCATTCATGGCGAAAAAGGGGGGCAGAAGAGACATCGTGTTCTATGAAGAAGTTTGAGGCTATTTTCAACTTTCAAAGTTGATACTTAACTCAAGATTTTAGATTTGAAGCTTTACAAGAAGTAGCATGACAACTAATATGATAATAAGGGAAAATCTGCCAGACCATCGACCATTGAAAAGGTTTGAGTAAAAAGCAAGAAAAAACTGATTTATTTGCCCCATTTTTAACCAGTAAAAAAAACTATAAAAAACTTAATCACTGGTCAAGCATATGCAAATTTCTGCCTCTTTATTCATCTTCCTTTTAAAACCTATGCAAAAAAATCTTGAAGAGATCCAAAAAAAACAATTATGTTCAAAATGTTTTTTTTGTCTAGTTTTTTTTCTAAAAAAGATTCAAAAAATTTAGTAAAATGGTATTTTTTGTGTTTTGGAGGAGCTCACGCAATCAATTTTGTCGACCTGCAAGTTCAAGTCACATTTAAGCAAATGGTTAGTTTTTGATTTTTTTTAACAAATTTTGTAATGGAAAGAGAGGAAATTAGCCTGAAGAGACAAATGACGTCGCATTCCTCCAACCCCTCCCCCTCCGGAGCCAGAAGAAGAGCCCCCACCCCCACTTCCAGGTACCAGTCCCCCCATGAGGATGGAGGGCGAGAATGTGGTTGGGTGGGTGGGGTGAATTGGGGGCATGAAAAAGTAGGGGTCTGGGGTGAGTCGGATGCTGTTACTGGATCGACTGGCAGACCTGGAAAATAAGCAAGGAAAATTAAATTATTCTTTAATTTCAAGATCGAAACAAACATTTGGGAACTTTTTTCGAGCATGAAGGCTGAAACAATTTTTCCGCCGACGAATTGAATTATTGTTGAGCGCTTGAGCTGAAGTTTTTTTGAGCAAAAAAATCTCCAAAAATGTTAATTATATTGCATAAGTCGAGAGTGAAGGCCCTAGTTATGTATAGAAATTATTGAATTAATTGATCAAAAAATTTTTCAACTCACATGTTAGGAAATGGGTTCGTCTCTCCGATCAATCTTCGTCTCTCTCCCTCTCCATTATTGCCCCCCTGTTCCCCCGATGGAGCAGCACTCCCCTCCAAGCTACTCGTGCCGAAGTAGCCAAAGTTGGGAGATCCCCCCTCGAAACTCCACGAGGTGAAGGAGGGGTTGGCGAAAGACGACAGTCTGAAATTATATTAAAAATTAAAGATAAATGCACTTTATAAATATATTAGAAAACAAATATTTAAGAAAAAAATAATAAAAACAATGCAAGTTTATTACCTTTACGAACGAAAACGTTTCGGAACTGCTCGAGCTGTTATATTTGTGCTCAACCAATTAGGTTTTCCATTTTGGACAACATTTTACAATTTAGGGTTTTCTTTTTGATGAACCCATCCAAAGAAAAGGTTTGTTTTTGGAGCCATTATAAAACTATAAAAAAACTCAAAAAATCACTATTATTTTATCAGACAACGTAGTTTAAATTAACCTGTAGTTTTTATATCTCAAATTCAACTTTGATTGAACTTCAGTAGAAACTGGCAACAGAGCAGCCAAATATGGAATGTTTTCTCGACACACGTTGAATTTGTCACTGTTCAACTGCAGAGTATTGTGAACTGAACTGTTCGACCCGTTTCTAGACACCGGGTCAGGGGTTCGATTCCCACTTGTGGCGGATGCTTGGCTTCCGTAAACTGAACTGTTGTTAGTACTATGGCTGGAAATGATAACTTGGTTGTTGTTTGGTTGAGGCTGCGCGTCAGTTTGGGCATTTTGATGGCTATTTGTTTGCGTGCCTGAAACAAAAAAAAATCTTTATTGCTTTCTCGAACCGAGATCATAGGCTCGATTTAGAAAGTGAAAAAAAAAACAGTATTCTCAGCAAGATTTGATATGCATTTTCAAAAATGCTAAGCGACACGTATTTTGAACCTTCGATGCGGTTCTACGGTTGATCAAGTGTTTTAAACAAATCAGAGTGCTTAGCAACACGTTAATGAAGATAATTTGTTCAATCGAACTGAGCGGCATGATTGAACAAATTGTTGATAAATTTATAGTTCTAACCTTGTGTCACCCCTCCATTTCTCCCACTGACCCCAGATTGACCTTGGGTTTGTTGACCTTGTGTGACCCCGTGGTTTCCAGTACCACTTCCACTATTGCTATTAGCGCTATTGTTATTTGTCTGCTGGTTGTTTACATTGTTTGTATTGATATTGTCTGTGTTTGTGTTGCTGTTGCTGCTGTTGTTGTTTTGTCGTCTTCGTTGTTGTGATTTCAGTTTGGAGATGACAGTTAGCATCATGTCCAGAACAAGTTGGGTTCTGTTCACTACTTCCGGGTGGGGGTGACGAAATCCTGAAACAAAAATGGGCTATTTTTACTTATTTCACTCAAATTCGCAAATCTTAAAACGCAAAATCAGAAATAAAAATGTTGAAATCTGATTGGTCGTAATTGAACTTGTCCGCTAGATATATAATGAACAACGCGTCAAACTTTGTAGTGGAGCTCTTTTAGGTAGAGTTAGGTAGAATAAGTAAAAAGTTCCCACATAACCACCGTGTTAGTATTAAAAAAACGTTCTGTTTGGCTGTGGGTTTTTCAACACGAAACTTGTTCAATATTGTCACCGTTCAAAAACGCCATTGCCATGTTATAGAATAGTTGACTTGCCTTTCAGCAGGTGTCCAACAAGGGCGAAGTGGAAGTTGTTTCTGAAGGACAACCCCACAGTGTGTTCTATCTGCTTGAAGTGCCAGTCCATCACCGGGTGCAAGTCCATGTACACCTCATCCGGCGTCTGGAATAAGGATCAAAACTTAAAATTCAAAAAATGTTTTGATTCTGACTTTCGAATTTGATAGGAATAGTTTCGGCTTGATACTGTTGATTTTTGTAAAGTTTTAAGTGTTAAATTTAATGTTACAGGCTGTTTTAGAGTTATTGGTTCAAATCCAGAAGAAATTTTTTTTTGCATCATTAGGCGTCTCAAAGAAACTGAACTGAAAAGATTGAATTAACGTCTCAAGTAGAAAAATCAATGTATAGAAAAATATGGAAGGCTTCACAATTTTGCGTGTCATTCTTGCGCAGGTTAACATACAACTAGAACGAGTTTTATTCTTTAACTTTGACTCCCAGTTTAACTCCGCATTGAAGTCACATAGAAAACCAGTAAAACTTTGAGCATTTTTTGAAGGATGTTTGGAAATGCAGAAAATAACGCAAACTGATCAAAGACAATTCTGATTAATCTTCATTCATCATCTTCTTTTCGGCACTGCACCAAGTAAAGATCATCCAGCCCACTATTGTTCCGACCATTTGAAAAATGGGGAAGGACTTTGTATTCAGGTGTGTTTTAGTTTTTTATTTTTGCTTTCCACGCAAAATCAGGTATTACAAATAATCATCGGACTGGAATGAGTGATATATCATATTAAAGCCCTTTCAATCGTGATTCGAACCACATTGAAAACTTCCAAAGAATTTTCCCAGTGTCGAGAAAAAAGTTTTAATTTTTCGTGTTAACTCGAGCGGATAAAGCAAGCGAGCAGGCTTACAACAGCTGAAATGCCTAATTAATCAAGTAAAACTAGTTTTTGGAGTTTTTTAGCTTCATTTTAGTAACCAAAAACTTCAAAAAATTCTGAATTGTTTTTCGGTTTTTCTAGTCATTTTTGTCCAATCTGCCTATATTACTATGGCTGTCTAATTTGCCTACATTATATTTTTAGTCATATCTTTTTATCACAACAAGCAGAAAAAAACTACACTAAAATAGCATAATTCTTAACAAAAATTTATAAGAAATAAAGACAAAAGCTTTCGGAAGATATAGAAAAGCTGTATCAACTTCTTTGGAACCGATTTCTTTCGAGTTCTTAGATAATGTAGAAGAGCGAAGCTTGTGTGGAAAGTGTTTTGCGAAATCCAAACTAAAAAGAAGTCATATTAAAACGTTTTCGAATTGTTTTGTGATTAATTCATAAAAAAAACTTTAAAAAATACACATCTTATTGAAATTGGTTGATGATGCAATTGTTGATAATGACTGATAGAGTTTTTGCAATTTGGTCGATCATTCGGGTTATTTTTTGTGGAGTATTAAATTTATATTTGCTTTTTTCAGTTGTGAGAAAAAAAAACAATCATGTACACAGGCTTGAATAAAAATCAGTACAATTATTGATTGGCCATCGATTACTCCCAAGTTGCTACAGAACAAGGTCCAAGATGTTCACTGATGTCGATTTCTGGTAGTACATCATAACATTGCACTTTTGTACTATGCAGAAAATAATGATTGGTGATTCAAAAATACAGAATTTTTTTTAACAATAAATCGAAAACAGTCGAAAAGTGATCAATTTTGATGTCTTGGGTTATCATTCCAATAACGAAAAATACATTGAGCTGCGATTCTGGAATTAAAATTTCTCGACACGAATTCTCGACAAAAAAATCTCGACACAATTTATTCACAGTGTCGAGAAAAACCGGTTTAAAATTATTGATTTTTGGTCTAATTTCGAATTAATATGGGGTGAGCTTTCAGGCCTACAATAGCTTATTCAAGCTTACTTTAAGCTGTGAAAACTTCTTTTCACTCAAATAAAAGTAGTTTTTGGAGTTTTTAGCGTCATTTAAAAAAAAAAAATTAAATTTTTGTAAACAATTTTTTTAACAGTTGTTCTGGTCAATTTTCTTCAAAAACTGTATTCCGAATGGCCTTTTTTACAATAACTGTCAAATATGCCTATGTTCTTTTTTCTTTCAGATCTTTTTATCACAATATGCAGAAAAAAAACAACCCCATGTTGTATAAAAAACCTCTTTTTCTATTTTTTCAAGACTGTGGTCGGAACATTTTGTGCTACTTGCACAGTAATCGGCTATTCTTGTTTTATTTGAAATCGCGTTGCACTGCCATTAAAAAATTCGTTTATGATCAGGTGGCGACTTTAACTCAGAATCAAATTATTATCCTCCCCACCAAACAAGATTAACGGGGGGAGGGGGGCACTGATTATGAAAAACAAAGCTTGGTGTCTGAATCTGATTGTAGAGACTAATGGAAATAGAAGCGAAAATGCGTTTTTGTTTTTGGCCGTCAAGCAGAAAAGATAAATATGACATGCTTTAACCTTATTAGAGAATAGTCCGAATGAGTCAAGTGTAGTGAGGTTCATTTCCATTAAGCTGAGTCCTGCACTGTATAGACCCACGTCATCCAACTGCATCACACTAAACAAAGACAAATTGAGAACATTTTTGTTCCAACCACTTCAAAGTGGGAAAGATCTATGAGACATGGTGATTTTTAACCATCAACTTTTAGGAACCTTAGAAAAAATTGTAGCGCGCAACTAGTGCCATTGCAATAAAAAAGTTCAAACAAAATGTCGATCACCAAAATGAAATTCGAAAATTATATCAGTGGTGAGAAATTCTGCTCTGATTTTTCCTAGTTTTCAGACTCAAACTCATTGAATAGAGAATGATTTGTTTCTTTTCAACTATTTAGGTTTCACAGTGAGCCTAGAGAAGTAACATATAGCTCAACAGGTAGAACAATTATTTCCAGCACAGTTAGCATTGCAAAGTTCTTTGTAAAAATCTTTGAGAAATAAATGCATTTTGGTTTCTACTCGGAGTTTAAAGTTAACTTGTAGCATTTTCTATAAATCTCTTTTGCTCCTCTTTTTTTTTGCTGAATCCACTGTTTATCATCGTTTGGTTGAAAATCAGTTACAGTGCACAGTTACAGTGCAAAAATGAATACTTTGCAACGGTAGATAAATTTTTACTTTATTTCCAGGCTAAAAAAATTTGATTAAAAAAGTTAAGATGTGTAATTTGACTTATGAGTTCAGTGACCCGCCCCACGGTTACGTAGCAGTTTTAGATAACCGCGTATTCATAATCGTCAGAAAGCAGACAAATGCAATACTAACCTATCAGAAATTCAGAATCGAGACAAGGAAGAAATTAAGAAAAAAATAATTTTTTTAAAATTGCTGCTCATCTCGATTCTGATTGGTTAATGCAGTATTTGTCTGCTTACTGACGAGTATAAGGTTAATAGTTAATGAACACATTACAATAATTTACCTGACGGCTACCCAGAACAGTGTCTTGTGTACATGTGAGTATTCCACAGGCAGGAATGACTGTACTCTAGTTAGACAGATCACAATTGACTCAATCAGGTCAATGTCGTCCTTTGTGATGGCTGGGACTTTAGTCTGAAACAGAGCAACAAACACTATAGAAGAAAGAACAATTTAGAAACTTCTAGATCATTCTCGAAGATTAGAGAAATGGATATTGGAACAATGATTAAAATGGGTTGTCTAAAAATTGCGACTACTTTTCAAAACAACCCCCCCCCCACAAAAAAGAAGAAAAAAACCCTGCGTGCATCACTGATTACGTATTACCATAATTTGATTTTGTTCAAAAACGGGGATAATGTCACGACAGAAAGACTAAGTATGCAAAAATTTCAAAGCAATGAACGTCCGTTAAACTGTCTAAATTTCTTTAAATAGTGAACTCTGATTCCCTATGACGTAATTTTTGGGCACTCGGTCTTTTTAGCATGGGGGAGTTTGCCGTTAAATAGTACCATAAAACGCAAGAGAAACTTCCTTGGCTTGCAAAAAAAAACTCTTAAATGTTCACTTTTGGCCATATTCAGATCAAGTTTTCGAAAGGACTTGGAAACTTCAGCGCGATCAAGTTCAAAATTTCAGATTTCAAATCATTTTAACTCTTCCAAAACAATTTGGTGATGACTAATTGCAATCTTTTCGAAACAGAAACATTCTTCAGTAACCAAAATGCGAAAACAAATAAATTAACAATTCGATAACTCAAATATGTGTTATTTTGGATACATTTTTGCAGACTAATAACAGGTGTATATATATTTTTCTTTTTTAAAAATCTTCGACGATGTTATTTGATCAATAAAAGGTCAAATAAGGTCAAACTGATTCAGTTTCTTGTAGCCTCACGGAAAAACGTACAACTGATTTTAAGAGCTAGTCTGGCCGAAGTCGGGCAGCTAAAAACAGAAAAAGATAAACTAAGCACCAAGTGGACAATCTCCCCCTAAATCACCTTTGGGGGGGGGGGGGGAGTCCACTTGGTTAAAAATAGTATTTATCAGCCAATCAGATTTGAGTATAGCACATGCAGGCCTTATTGCTTGATTTGCCATTTAATTTCAGAGGGGATGTTTCACTTGGTCGGAGATTTTTCACATGGGCGGAAATTAACTCTTATTATGGTGTTCAGGGAGAGGGCCGGCCTATTAGCATGCGTGTTGATTAACATACCATAAAAAATGCTGTTGACTCGTTCGTTGCTTCAAGATTTGCAATTTTGATTTGCCCAGTTTAAGCAATTATTGCACGATAATAGACACACGCTTATCGCTTAGGGCTTAAATTAAACATTCGGCTTAGCGCCGGAAAATTTATGCTTTGAGATTTAGAATGTTTCTAGGCCATTCTTCAAGAAATCTGGCCGCGTCGTAAGCTATAAGATAAAACCGGCGCCACTGAGAGAAAACATTGAGAACAGCACAATACAAAAAGTTGTCGCGGCCGGTTCTAGGATAGGACCAACACACGAGCTGATCAGCTCATCACGGAGAACCGCTGATGTGCCCCTGCTTGGGAAATAGATAAAATTTATTTAAAAATTTTTCTGGGTTGGATAATGGTGCCTCACCTTCCAGCAACGAGCACAAATCATGGAGGGCCTCAAACATCCAACCTTTCGATTGACAGGCGGAGACATAACCACTTTACAACAACTGCAACATCGCTGCGATCGACACCAATGAGAGCAAACTTTGTGACCGGCACCACTGAAAAAAATATTGTGGCCGGCTTCACTGAACAAAAATAAAAATACTGGCGCGAATGTGGACAAACTTTGCGATCAGCGCTACTAAGAAACATTGCTGAAATCGTCACTACTGAAAACATTTGTCGCGACCGGCGAAACAGAATAAAATTAATACAATCAGTACGACAAAGCAATTTGCGGCGACGAGCGACACTGAAAAAATTCATTGCCAAAGGCGCGAAGGAGAATACGCGCGCGACTGAAAAAAATTGCTACGATCGGCACTGCTCAAAATATGAATGTGACAAAAAGAACAAAAAATCTTGCAAACCGCACACAAATTTAAAAATGCAAACATAGCGACCCGAAATTGTTGCGACCGGCACGGCTGAAAATATTGATGGGACTGGCGCAACAGAGAAACCGTTGCGGTTGGCACAACTGAATTTTTTTCTCGATTGAAACCACTGCAAAAAAATGTTGCAACCGGCGCAACTGCTAAAAATTGTTCCAATCGTTACGATATAAAATTTTGTTGCGACCGGCACTACTGACAAAACATGATGCCACCCGCGCGAAAGAGAGCAAACGTTGCGAACTGCGGTACTGAGAAAAAAACTGTTTCAATCGGAACGACTGAAAATATGGATGCGATTGATACCACAAAAACATTGCGAATGATAAAATGACAAGACTTCGTGGCGATTAGCACCCGAGTGAAAAAATTCTGCAATAGAAGTGACTGAGAGAAACCGTTAAGTTTGAAAAATTATTTGCCACCAGTATGACTGCGAAAATGGTTGCGACCAACGGTAATGAGAGAAATTGTTAGAAGCGGCACGACTGAAACTTTTTTGCAATCGTCGCGCATAAAAAAACTACGCATTGTCACCCATGGAATGAATTAAATTTTGTAGCTTTTCGCAGTTAAAAAAATTACAGAGTGCCTGTCGCAGTTAAAAAAAAACTACTGATAATTGGCAATAAAAATTTGCTTAAAAAAGTTGAACACGATCACCTTACAAAAGTTACGATTTTCGCTTTTAGAACCCTTCCAACAAAAAACTTCTCACAGAAAATTTACGAATCGTCACCCTTAAATTATAGATCGTCGGCCTCAAGAAAATGGACGGTTCGTCGACTTTAGAAAAATTACAAAACGCGGCACTTAGAAAGTCACGAATTGTCCCCTTAGAAAATTTACGAATCGCCACCTTGGAAAACTGACGGATCGTGGCCCTTCAAAAGTTACGATTGAACGTCTTTAGAAAAGTTACGAAGTATCGCACTTAGAAATGTTATGATTCCTCTCCCTATAGGAAAATTACAAAGTATCGAAGTTAGAAAAGACAAGGATTCACGCCTTTAGAAACCTTACGAGTTTTTCCCTGTACAAAATTCGAAAAATTAAAAAAAATGTCATCATTAGAAAAGTTAGAAATTGGCTCACGCTTTTAGTATGGTGTCAAACTGCTCTTTGAAAACGAAAAAGAGCGTTCTAGAACCTGCAGATCAAGCCACAATCTCAAATCAAGAGTTGGATAGACTTTAACACACGTCAATGTATCAAAAATTCCGAAAGCATGAAAACAATTTTGATGACTGTTTTAAATTTAGTCTTTTCAAACTATAAAACTTTCTTCAATGTCAAAAAAACTAATAACAAATCTTTGTGTATTTCTTTTCTGTGAATTCGGTATTATCACGAATTTCGCTTCATTTTACCATTAGGATAGCAAACTTCCTTATATTTTGGGATACTGATCAATGTTATTGATTCAACAATAAAAATTAGTTACGTGGGATTTCACAGCATATCCCATGCCATTCTAACCCATGTCGAATAGCCTATGCAATTTTAAGAGCTAGCCTGGCGGAGTTTCGGGCAGCTAAAACTTCAGAAACTTAAAACTGACTGAAACTATTCAAGGAGAGTGAAAATGTAAAAATCAAGTCAAACCGCTTCAATTTTTTTGGCATGACTTAAAAGACTATTTCATTTTCGACTCTTCGGGGGGGGGGGGGGGGGGCGAGGAGGAGGGAGGGGTGTCTTCTTGTAATAAAAAGACCGAACGCGCAAAAGTTTGCAGCCAATCAACGTCCTTTAAAAGTGGAAATACAACTAATTTTCTAACTGGCTTTTACATTTCGAATACTGAATTCACATAGTGGCTGACTCAAGTGTAATGTTGTCCTTATAAAAAATTGGCGAATTTGGTTCCATTTTGATATGTCATCAGATTTTGTCATAATTATTAATTTTTCTACTCAAATAATTGAAAAAAGCCAATAAGGAGTTTTTAACTCAAATAATTTTAAAAAATTGTTTTTGGAAATAATAAATAATTGGAAAAGGTTTAATTTTCTCAATCGGGATGATCCGTTGCAAAAGGACCAGTCCAGAGAAACAAACTGTTCATGAAAGCGCCCGGTGGATATCGTGCGTAGTCATCGGAAGTTATTGAGGGGAATACATGCGCTGTTTAAATGCTCTGTTTCAGATTAGAGAGATGTTAACTTGATACAATAATTAACTTAATTAACTAACCAGAATTTGTAACAATGCTCGAATGTCCATATCAGTGGCATTGCGACTAATACACCCCAACACAACAATGGCCCTGGGTTGAAATGCTGGATTGTACTGGAATGCGAATCTCTGTACTAACTCCGCCCACTGTTGCAGCCACAGACTGCCAGGGGGCACTTCGGACAGACAGGCTTCCATGATTTCAACCAGACTGTCAACCAGACATTCCAGATCCTGAAGAGAGAAAAAACTGCATTTGACTTTTCACATGGCCGGTTCGAAAATCTTAAGCTCTCAGGATTTCCCGATAACATTTTGAGAATTTTTCTGTAGATTTCGAAAACTGTAATTTATTGGATAAATTTTTGTCAAAGTAATAATTTTGTATAGCGATATGCTAATTTTGGACCTTTCCCTAATACTTTGATACTTTGCATTTAATTCATTCGACCGGGAAATTGACAAAAATTTTTGATAAAAAAATTCACATTTCAACAAAAATTTCGTTTGATTTTTTTTTGGGGGGGGGGGGGGGGGGGACAAAAGTGACTATTATCTGCAACTTGAAAACTGTTGACTCTTTTTCTTATTCTCCCACCTCAAATAAGCATCTTTTTTATGACGTGCTGAAGCATGAAAACCAAACAAGGTTAATCAAATCAGAATGCCAAATTTCACTACACTCGGTAACATAATTTCGACCAGAAGAAAAAATAAATCAAATGTGGTTGGCTAAGGAATAAGAGCCCAACTGACGAGTCAGGTAGATTTAAATTTGCAATAGTGGGTGATTCTTCGAACTCACCTGAAGTTTGAGTTTCTCGCCCACTCCGTTGATCTTCTCATTACACTGGAATGCAGTCACGGCCGAACTCTTCACGTCTTCAATGTAGAACAGTCTAAATAAGGAAAAGAGAAACAGTAAAAAAAACAATCAAACTACTCTAGAACATGCTCAGAAAATTGTCCAGAACATTTGGTTACATTGGCTATTTTTGAATCACCTGTAAATTCACCAAAAACAAACGCAGGCAAGAATTTTTTTTAACTTCAAATCAGGTAAACTAGTCATTATAGTTTAGAAAAAATTTCGTTTAAAACCAATATTTCGATCGCTCCAAATGGCCTGAACAAAACAATTCGCCACCAACCTGAAAATTTTCCGGCATTTTCTCCGATATAAAGATCGAACAAAAAAGAAAAAAGAAAACCACAATTCTCTGTTATTAAAAAGAATTCTTTGAATGGCTCGATAAAATAGAATAGATGATCCACAAATTCCATCTCACAAATCACACCTTCCCTCGAAAATATCCTAAAAAAGCATTAAACTAGCTTAAAAAATAACATTAAACTTTTTCAAAAAGGCAAGAAAATCTGGATACAGAACTTAAAACTTAAATGTTCACCTATAGAATTTGTCCAAGGACAGTTCGGCCAAAAATAGTCTGAGGAATCTCATTGTTTCCTCACTGAACACCAGCTGGTTACAAGTGCAGAGAGAGTGGATAGTGTTGATCAGGAGTCCATGGGTAGAAGCACGCAGGTACTTCGGACCTAAAATGATAAATATTATTAATAAAAATTACAATCGTAATTATAAAAATAACTACAATCACAAAAACCATCACAACAATCTCAATCAGGGGCGGATTTAGGGGGGAAAGGATTGATTCTCTCGCCAATCAAAGGGTCCCTCCTTTGATACTATTTTATGACAACTAATTTCGACTAACCAATATATAGAATTTTCAAGAGAAAAACTCAATTTTTTGGTCAAAAGTTTCCAAAAAGTGGCCATAACAGCATTTTTGATCAATTTTCTTTCAAAAACATACGTGTTCTACTGCATTTTTGACCTGTTTTTTTTTCTTCAAAAAATTATAGTGTTATAGCATTTATAGTGTTCTGGGACCGCTCGGAAAATCAATGTGGTTGAGTTTTCATGCATTTGTCTCGAATAACAATAGTTTGAAAAAAAAACATTCCGAAAATTACAACAAACACTTAATTGGTCTTGAAAGAACATTTAAGAATCGGTGATGAAGTGAAAAAAAAGTGGGTAGACACCCGTTGAGCTGAAAAAATCTTTGTCACTCATAATGAATTTTGAGCTAAAAAAAAGTTTCGAAGCTCAAAGTTTTGAGGTTTCGCATACCCCCATAAATTAGGCACTAATTAATATTTATTATCACTCATCAAACGACGCAATACAAGGTGACTAAGACGATGTAAGATAAGTCAAAACCTTATAATCCGAATAAACTTCTCGATAAAAAACAAACAGAAGAGAAGATTTACAAATTCAGAGTTGGATTACAACCAAAATAAACATCAATTTAAAATAGAACGGGAGTGTAAACTACAGACATGCTCGAAAAATATCTGTTGGACAAATGATTCAGGAACTTTTTTCAAACAAATTTCTAACCTGAAAAAAGTCCATCTTCCGATTTGATGAAGCTTGCTCATCGCAAATGTGATAACAATCAGAATAATAAACTCATGATGATCAAAAACAGGGGCGGATCTAGGAGTTTCTCCTCGAGGGGGGGGGGGATTTTCAAAAAAAAAAAAATCGAAAATTTTATCGGCCTTTTTTAGGTCGACCAAATTAATTTTCCGAGCTATCCCAAAGCACTACAAAGACCCTGTTTAGGCCAAAACTTCTGCGCAGCAGGCAAAAATTTTGAAAAACGGGCCCGGCAAAAAAAGGCCTTTATTAGGCACTTTTAGAAAAATTTTGACCAAAAAATTGCGTTTTCTCAGCGCGCGCTCCCCCCCCCCCCCCCAAAAAAATTAGTATATACTGGCGCCAAAGGCTTCGTTATAAATATTTCAAGTCAGCGCCTTTAGAAAAATTTTATGGTCCGTCACCAAAAATGGGTATCTCAAAAAAGTACAAAGGGGGACCCTTTGGGTCGGCAGGGGGTCAAATCCCTGAGAAAGGGGGGCGTCCATCCCCCGCCCACCCCCTAAATCCGCCCCTGGTTACAATACATCTATATAACTTACCTGTAGACACTAGCATAGTGACCACGTGGAATATGTATGGCAGGTGGTTGGCCACATCCAGGGAGTTGTTGAAGGATAGCATGAGGAGGTATCTCTGCAGCACTGCCATCTCCTCCCACAACACGTGACTCTCCAGGGGAAACACGGGCGACTCACATGTCTTCTCTATAGTCTGCAAAACAAGTTAATAAGTTTACAAACAGGTTAATAAGTTAACGAAGCTAATCAAGTTAACTAAAGTTATTGTTAGCCTTTCAAAAAACACTTAATACTATGTATTTTGGTTACATAAAACGTCGAAGAATTGACTCATCGAATACTGAGCATCAAATGCTGGTGAACTAATTATGCCTAAAAAAATATAAATTGCCAAATTTAGAATCATTTTTAAAAATCGGATCCCATGAGGTCTCGAGTTTAATGTTTTGATCTCAATTTTTGCAATGGTTACCAGTCCTAATTACTTATAAGTTAGTATATAGTAATAATCAGTAATAGGTAAAATTAGTTGAAATTAGTATCAAATAGGCATTGCTACCTTGCACAGTCTGGATATGATCTTTTTAGACACCAGTTTGACATTTGAAGAAGCCAGTGCGACAGCTGTGTCAGCCATGATCTCCGCATTCGCCTTCTTAGCCTCACCTGCTATGCTGACCTGCGAAATTAAAAACATGACGTATTAGGAAAGGACTTGAGAACAAAATGAGTCTTTTGGTCGAAGACGAAGTAAAAGTCATGATATACTTTTTCTCACAATTCAAACATTTAGAAAAGGAAACAAGGATAGCTGATTACTGTACGAGAAAACCTTTTTTTTTTCAAATTAGTGTAGTTTTTTGAAAAACGTGGTGTGTTAAAATTATTTGAGTAAAACTATGATTTAGGCATATTCGATAGTCAGATTATTATAGGCAAACAGGACCACAGTTTTTGAAGAAAGATGACGAGAAAAACAAACAAAAAATCATGAAAAAAGATAATTTTTTCAACATTTTTTTGCAGAAATTTTATGATTTTTTGATTCCAAAAATGGCACTAAAAACTCCAAAAACTAAATTACTCGAGTAAAATTAAAATTAAGCATAAACTAGCTATTGTGAACGTCCTAAATTAAGCATAAATAAGATGCTCGCTCGCTTTACTCGCTCGAATTAGACGAAAAATCAATAATTTCAAAACCGGCTTTTCTCGACACTGGGAAAAACTTATTCAAATTTTTCATGTCGTTCGAATCACGACTAAAAAAACATTAGTATGATACATTATATAACTCTCTCCGTTGATTATTTGGGGTAGCTAATTTTGCGTGAAAAACAAAAAAAAAACACAAAAAAAAGAAAAGCTAAAACACACCGGAATACAAAGTTCCTCCCCATAATTAAATGGTCGGAACACCAATGATAGCCGGTTACTGTGCAAGTACCACAGAATTTTCCCATTATAGTCTTAAAAGTTTTTAAAAACATTCCAAGTAGTTTTATTTTTTTTGCGTGGTCTGCTAAAATATAGCCAACTGACAGTTGGAAAAGTGTACTGAACGCAAGGAAACTAAAAAAAAAACAGACTTGTTTTTTGAAAAATTTTCAAATTTATAATTTCCTAGAAAAAATAGATGCACTTAAATCGTTTTGAATCTGCGGAACAATTTATGATTGACATTTTTTGATAAAAATAACCCAATTTGAGAAAATTGGATCGATAGGTAAATTTTTTAATTCGCTGGAAAATGTGATAATTAAATTCCAATTTTCGAAACTAGAAATCTATCACAATTTTGGCTGTTTGATTGTGAAGTTCAGCTTCCTTTTAACAAAGGAAAAGAACAGAACTTAAAAAGAAAACAACAGTCATAACGTAAAAAACACAAAATTGAGCGTGAACAAATTTTGAGACTTTTCCTGGAAAAAAAAACTAAACAAAAAAATCACCAAGAATTATATAAGAGTACTCACTACGTTCATTACTCTGAACTAAAAAAATAGCACATAGGCAGATTCGACATACATAGTTAAATAGGACAATTGGAAAACAATTATGCAGACAAAAATTCAAAAAATTTTCAAACAATTTTTTTTTTAATAATTAAGAATAAAGAAGCTTTTGTAAGCCTGCATAGCCTCACCTCATTTGCCTGAAATTAAACCAAAAATTTCGAACTGGTTTTCTCGACACTGAGAATTTTTTCTTTTTTAAATATCGTTCAAATCACGACTGACAGAGCGTTAAGATGATATTTCACTCTATCTATTTCGATGATTATTTGTGGTACCTGATTTTTCGTGGAAAACAAAAAAATTTAAAAAAACTTCTCTGGTCGAAACAACCATTTGGACCAAAATAGTTCCTCAATTTCAATCTGAATCAAACGAATCAAATTTTTTGCTGTTATTCTGACCTGAGAAATAAAAATAGAAAATGATGAATTTAGCGTAATTATTACCTTTTGGATCAATTCATCGAAAAATTTTTAAGACACATTTTGAGGTGAGAGCCCGCGCCAAAAAACAAGTTTTTTGGCCAAACCTTTCCAATTTTTCCTAGAAAAAAGCTCTAAAAAACACACTTTTTAGAAGACTTGGTTATAGTGCAAGGGCAATTTGAGAACAAATTTTTTTAGGTCGAAGAACTTTTTAAATGATCTGAAGACGAAATGAAGTACTTTTAAAGTTCAAAATAAAATTCAAAAATTTAGAAATGGAAACAAAGACAGTTCCTCAATTTTGAGCTCTAAGAACTTATCAAAGATACTTAACCACAAAAGCAAACAAGAGAAAAAAAAACAATTTAAAATTATTATCAGAGTTAATCTGGTTGACTAACTGACCTTGCTGAAGATGGCTAGAAGCAAAACTTTTATCTTTCGTCTTTAAATCGAGACTAATTACAGTTAAACTTGATTGCGAGAAAAAAACGTAAACTAAGTCAAAAATTATTTAGATTAACAAACAGTCATTTCGACACACTCCCCCATCTTTTCACCCTCTGTAAATGATCCTGACAAATAACAAACATAACTATTTAACTAGATTGAACACTTATGATACAGGTCTGACCTTGATGAAGCTGTCGAGCACTACATCAATGAGTTCCTTCACTTTCCCAATGGTGCCCCATATCTTGGCCTGAATGGAGGGGTACATCTCCACTTCACTGATACTAGCCGTGATCAACTTGTCCAGAATGGCCGACACCTGAACATTGAAGATGCATTTAGAATAAATTAAGAACTATTTGAAACACACTTCGCTAGCACAAGCGAGATCAAGCCAAGAAGTAGCTTTAAAGAAGAGAAAAAAGGCAAGAAAATGGTAAAAAATTAATGAGATTTGAAAATTAAATGCCCTCTGCAGGCATCGAACCACATTATTTGAAAAAAGTCGACTCGTAACAACAAAGCATAAATTCGAATTCCACGCTTTCTTTTGTTTTTAGGAAATAGGCGGAACCAATCATCTAAACTAGTTTTCTCACGGGACCAAACAAATAAACAAGTACCGTAAATTTAACAAAATTTCATTTTGAGAACTTTTGTATATTTTATGCCGGAAAACAACTTCGTATTATTATTATATCGGTTTCGTATTAAGCTAATCATGTTAAATGTCTCTGAGGTCTTATTAGCTTGCCTTGTGTCGTTTGCTGTCGTCCGAGTGTCGGACAAACTTCTCCAAGTTAGGTAGCCAGGGGGTCATGTACTCCAGACAAAGGTGCTTCATCTCAATCGTCTCCTTGGAGAAGCCCTGGATACATTCTTCCAGGAACTGAAACAGAAAAAAATAAGGAATTAACTAGAATTTTCAAAAGAAAATGGAAAAAAATTAGAAAAGTAGGGAAAATTTGAAAGCAGAGCAAGTAAAAAAAAAATAAAATCAAAATTCACATAAAATTTCCAAAAAACTATTTTAGAAAAAAAAACAATCTAAAGCCGACAGACAGTTTCAGATTTAACACTTTTGATTTCAAACAGTTTCGCTGTCCACTCAAACTTTTTGCTGATCTTAATATGATATCGATCACTAACTGACCGGGTTGTCGCTAAACTGAAAAATGTTTACCTCCAAAGTGAGATGGTTTTCACTGGACGCCAGTCTGGAACTAATGGCCACAATGACCAGTGTGTTATTAGCGGGGATGCACAGACTGCTTGTTTCCAGTAAGTGGCCATCTATCTTCAGCTGGAAACTCTGAACTACACCACAGAAAAAGAAGAGAGATTATGTCATATCAAGAGCAAGATGATATAATAGTTATCGCAATAAGCAGCTGGTTAAGAATTAACAATTTCGGAAACTATAGTGAAGTCGGAAACTAGTGGGTGGCATGCAAGCAATAGAGTATTGAGTTCGAGTCCCTTTAGTGAAAAAATATTGGGACTAATTTCTTGGAAAGACCCTCCATATAGATACTACCTTAAACGTTTTTAACAAAAAAAATTGAAACAGGAAACGAGGAGTTATTATAGTGGTGTTGGCCAACTCAAATGCTTCTTTCTGTTGCCAATTATCCAAAACGCTGTGTTCTTGATCCCATTCTATATCTGCGCCAAACAGAAGTGTTCCTGGTTCCATAACAGCTTTTTCACAAACCTGTAAACAAAAAAACTGAAAAATTTTGTAAGGACATATGTTTACCCAGTGCGCACAGTAGATTGTAGGCTGCCGATCTCAGTTGTGGGTCACTGGATCCCAAATTCAACAATGCCAGATTCAGCAGAGTGCCTGGCACATCCTTAGGGGTCAACTTTGGGTGGATAGAGATGGAATCCTGAAACGAATTTGTGAACATGCGCTGCAATTTGTAAAGTGAGCTGGTTATATGCGCTCATGTCAACCTAAATAATTAATCTCCGGGCTGGTTCGAAACGAGGCTGAAACAAGTTTTACAAATTCTAGTCTTTGTTTATCATTACTCGTTTCTGTTTCGTGAAAGGAGGGATTGCCAACGAAAACTTTTTCATCGCTTTATAGAAATGCGAACCTTTTTAAAAATAAAATTTAGAAACCAAACATTTTAACGAAATACAAAGTTTTTTATGCGAATGCAAATTCTTTATGAAACTCGAAACCGCATCTTCAATGTATGATATTAGACAAAGTGCAAACAATTATAGCTAGTTATCATGATATTTGCTTCGTCATTATAAACACAGCGTGCTTCAAAATATATAAGCTCTGTTGAAAAGTTTTTCGTCAAACTGGTGACGCATATAACGAAAAAAATTTGCTTCAAGTTACATGCAAGCAATATAAAGTTATATTTTATTCGTGAATTTACGTCATAGTTCAGAGCCAAAAACTAAACCAAAAAATCAGTAAACCTTTTTTTAAATAAAAAATAGTAATCAATTATGCCTGTTTATGATCTTACTCTGACGCGGGGTTGAAACAAATCTTGAATATCTTATTTTTGCTTCACAGTTATTTTATTTTTTAAAATGGGAAGCGGTGGATCGAAAGCCAAGGTATGTCCGTAAAAATCTGTTTTTATGTCCATATTTGAAATAAAAGAATCAGCTTTTACACAGATTGGAAAAACCCATGTGATGTATTTTGAGGTTTCTATATTTTACAGAAGATCTATGAAATGTTATCAGGCATGTCTAATCATAGTCCATTTCAGTACTTTACTGAATGAAGCTCTTTTTTGCGACCCTGGGTAGTTTTTTGCGTCTAGTTGTTTCACGTGGTACCACTATTGCAGCCAAAATCAGTCAGTTTAAAAAATCAACCCAGCAGAAATATATTTTTAACTATTAGCTAAGAACGTTAAAAAACTTCACATGGTTGAATATCGCCTGTTTAAAGGTCCTCAGAATATTGGTTGTGTTCATGGATTATATCCAGAGCAAAAACTCTGAGCACACAAATGTAAGACTCATGTTGGAAAAAGCGAAATTTCATTGAAACAAAAGTTTACTTGAGTAAACAAACAAAGCTATCAAAATTTATTTCTTAAAATGTACCCTATGTTTCAGAACTCCGGCAGTAACGATTTGAACAACCAAGAATTCTCTCAATTCATGATTGAAGAACACAATAGGCAAGTACAGAAATCTAACGCTGCGGTGAAAAGTGTGAGGAATATGCAAATCAAGGTGACTTACGTTATGAATGACATGACTAATATAGGTGTTTTTTTTTTCAGAGTGATGTTACGTTTCAAGTGCTATAACTCAAAAGCAACAAAAAGTTTTGTAACCGACTGTTTTTTTCCGACCTCTTATTTACTTCGCCAATGAAATAATTTCTATTCTTCTTGAAAAATGCTAAAAAATTAATTCTTCCTTAAAATGTTCTGGCGATAATATATATTTTCTTGCCAATAACACAGTCTAGATAAAAAACAACATATCTTTTCGTTCAATGTTGGGTTGTTTGGAGCCAAAAAGAATCAAAATATTTGCTTCTTGTGATAGAACTTCGGCTAGATGAAAGTTAAACAAAAACAAACAAAACGCATTAGCAGAAATTTTTGCGCTCTAAAAATCAATTTTGCCCTCTTATTGCTGGAGAATTAGGTGGAACCTAATTACGTCATATCCGAATTGATTTATGGGTTATCAAATTGATTTATGGGCTATTAACATCCAGGTAGGGGCGGATCTAGGATTTTCTCGAGGAGGTATTTCCACAAAATTTTTTGAAAGTTTTGTCGACCTTTTTTTTTGAGGTAGGCCAAATTGATTTTCCGAGCTCTCCCAAATCAATTAAAACACACAGTTATGGTCAAATTTTTTGCGCCGTAAGCGAATTTTGGAAAAAAAGGCCAAAAAAGTTTTTAGGCACTTTTTGGACAGTTTTGACCGAAGAATCGTGTTTTTCGGCGCGCTCCCCCCCCCCCATAAACCGCTACTGCATCCAGGGATACTGTTTGTTTTTTTGTAAAATACCTCAAAATGAGACGGAAAAACTAGAATAAAAAATCTGTGCAAAACTGCTAGTAAAAAAAATTCAAAATTAAGGATAGAAAAACCAGAATCTTCGATGAGTATGAAATTGTATGACTGGCATTTTTTCAACGCAGATTGAAAAAATTGTGGCAAAACGGTTTTTTGTTGCGCATTGAAACGTCTTAAGCCTGTGAAACAATAGATTATAAAAAACGTTCGAGAAAAAAAAAAGTCCAGTAAATGTTGAACGTTTTTTTTTTGTTTTCAATTAAACAATTGCCAGCATACGATCACTGTCTGTTATGTATTGAAAATATATGGTCAGAAAATAAAAACTCGTTCGTGTTTTTCTCGCCACTAAGAAAAAATTTCAAAATTTTCATTAGATCGCAAGATCGCCATAAACCCTTGCGTGGTCATGGAAAACTTACATGAGAACGCAAATTCGGTTGCGTCATAAATGATGATCTATAATTTATATAGGTGGCTTATAACTCCAAAATTTCGTCTTTAAAATAAAACCCATAATTGTTTCGTCCAATAAAAAGGGGCGAAAACTTTCAATCTGGTATTTTATTTCTTCTTTTTGTATCATATTCTCATTCATTCTTGTATAACTATTTCAATCGTGATTCGATTGACTTTTTAAAAATTCGAAAATTTTTCCCAGTGTCCAGAAAACCAGTTTGAACTTTCTAAGTTTTAGTATAAATCGAGCGAGTAAAGCAATCGAGTATCGTTATATATAAAAAAAATTCGTTAAGGCTAAAATCTTCGATGTTAAATTTAGTTTTGCAAGCTTCATTTAGCGCAATAATTTTTAAACAATTTTTAAACTAATTACGTCATATCCGAATTGATTTATGGGTTATCAAATTGATTTATGGGCTATTAACATCCAGGTAGGGGCGGATCTAGGATTTTCTCGAGGAGGTATTTCCACAAATTTTTTTATTGAGGTAGGCCAAATTGATTTTCCGAGCTCTCCCAAATCAATTAAAACACACGGTTATGGTCAAATTTTTTGCGCCGTAAGCGAATTTTTGAAAAAAAGGCCAAAAAAGTTTTTAGGCATTTTTTGGACAGTTTTGACCGAAGAATCGTGTTTTTCGGAGCGCTCCCCCCATAAACCGCTACTGCATCCAGGGATACTGTTTTTTTTTTGTAAAATACCTCAAAATGAGACGGAACAAACTGGAATAAAAAATCTGTGCAAAACTGCTAGTAATAAAATTCAAAATTAAGGATAGAAAAACCAGAATCTTCAATGAAAAGTATGAAATTGTATGACTGGCATTTTTTCAACGCAGATTGAAAAAATTGTGGCAAAACGGTTTTTTGTTGCGCATTGAAACGTCTTAAGCCTGTGAAACAATTGATTATAAAAAACGTTCGAGAAAAAAAAATGTCCAGTAAATGTTGAACGTTTTTTTTTGTTCTCAATTAAACAATTGCCAGCATACGATCACTTTCTGTTATTTATTGAAAATATATGGTCAGAAAATAAAAACTCGTTCGTGTTTTTCTCGCCACTAAGAAAAAATTTCAAAATTTTCATTAGATCGCAAGATCGCCATAAACCCTTGCGTGGTCATGGAAAACTTACATAAGAACGCAAATTCGGTTGCGTCATAAATGATGATCTATAATTTATATAGGTGGCTTATAACTCCAAACTTTTGTCTTTAAAATAAAACCCATAATTGTTTCGTCCAAAAAAAGGGGCGAAAACTTTCAATCTGGTGTTTTATTTCTTCTTTTTGTATCATATTCTCATTCATGCTTATCTAACTATTTCAATCCTGATTCGATTGACTTTTTAAAAATTCAAAAAATTTTCCCGGTGTCCAGAAAACCAGTTTGAACTTTCTAAGTTTTAGTATAATTCGAGCGAGTAAAGCAATCGAGTATCGTTATATATGAAAAAAATTCGTTCAGGCTAAAATCTTCGATGTTAAATTTAGTTTTGCAAGCTTCATTTAGCTCAATAATTTTTAAACAAAAATCTAACTTTTTCTTGAGCAAAAAAAATACAAAAAAAATTTTTTTTTCATGATTTTTTTTTGCATTTCAATTTTTAAAAACAACTATTATCTATTATGCCTAATCAAGTAACCTTCCAAGCGTGGTATAGTTTTATATCACACCACGCACCAAAATTGTTGATTATTTTTTTAAGTTTTTGTTACGAATATGGTCGGAACAGCCAGTGTTACTTGCACAGCGACCGGCTATTCTTAATTTTTCAGGCAATGAATGAGACATGTATTTCAAACAAATTATTTCCCAATGGACAATTGAAATGATATTCAAAAAAAATCGAGAAACTGCCAAGAAACAACTATTTTGAAACTTAAAACTTTTAAAACTTTTCACAACTGTTAAGCTTCATTAACAAAAATGATGTCATTTCAGATAACCGGATCAACTTCTTAATATCTCTATTTTGTTTCTACTATAATTAAAAGAAAACTAAGCAAGAAAAAAAGATTTTCCGATTTTTATTTTTAAAACGAACAAAAAAACCACATGATGTTAAAAAATGAAAATAATGCACGCCGTTTATTAACACATGAAATTTGATTTAAGCAACTAAGTTTTCGTATCAGGTGCCGAAAGAGACATGGTAGTCCCCCTTTGAAGCACAGTTTGACTTGTGAGAGAGAAGCTCAAGAGTGGGCTGAGAAATTGGGACAGACAGGGTACAAAGAGCACAACACACAACAGAAGGACTTCGGGGAAAGCATATATAAGGCCACAAAACCAGTTTCACGTGAGGGGATATATTTTTAGATTTAAAAGAAACTTCTTGGTCATAGATACAGAGCTGATTTAAATTATCCGGACAAAACTTGAATTTTCAAACGCATTTTTCTCAAATTGGGTTAATATAAGACAAAAAGTGAAGAGAACAAAAGTTGCTTAGAATTTCCTCAGAATTAATATGGTGCAATTTTTTCTCCGAAACTCTCCGAAAATTTTACCCCAAAAATGGGTCATTTTGGCTTTTTTCAATTAATCAGAAGCCTCTTACTCCGCCCAACGAAGTTTAAGAAGGGTTAAATCTCCAAAAGTTTGCGCAAACTGTTTAAAGTTTGTTTTTAAACAGAGGTTCTGGGTTTTATATAGTAAAAATCACATTTATTGACTATCAAGTAAAAATTTTTTCTCTTATACTAGTTTTTGGAGATTTAACCCTTCTCAAACTTTGTTGGGCTGTGTAAGAGGCTTCTTGTGATATAATTTGCTTATCAATTAACAAAGCAGTTTCAGCGTATTTTTTGATTAATTGAAAAAACCAAAATGACCCGTTTTTGGGGTAAAATTTTGGTTGAGAGTTTCGGAGAAAAAATTGCACCATATTAATTCTGAGGAAATTCTAAGCAACTTTTGTTCTCTTCACTTTTTGTCTTATATTAACCCAATTTGAGAAAAACGTGTTTGAAAACTCAAGTTTTGTTCATTTTGTCCGGATAATTTAAATCAGCCTGTAGATTTAAAATAATGATACAAAAGATGAAAATCAAGTAAGGCAAGACAAAATTCGACGTGCGGTTTTTCAAAAAAACAGAAAAAGTTGGCAAGCGTTTTTTTTTATAGAATAACCCTCTCTCCCTGCACCCCCACCACCCAAACAAATTTTTGGACAAAAACATGTTTTAGATGCGTGCTTAAACCGCGAAATTGGTATATGCATGGACGACAACAATTAGTACGCAATCAAAACGAGACAAAATGCATTGTATAAAAAGAGACGGCCAAAACTTAGTGCTATAAAAAATTTCTGTTTCAGCGCGAGAGATAGTTGATGCGTGGTATGCTCAAAATACAACCTACAATTATGAGGAGCCCAACTTCAGTCACAGGACAGGGTACTTCACGCAGCTAGTCTGGAGGGAGTCAGAATTCGTGGGTGAGATATATTCACCCACACTATCTTTCAACTACCCACCAAATTTTATTGTTCTGACTTTCGATACGAAAGTAACGGAATATTTGTGCTCGGGGTGGGTTTTTTCTTCAGACAAATTTCGACTTTTTAACTAGCCATTTTTGACGGAATGTTTTTGTATCATTCGAAATGTATTGTTGTCCTGAGCTCAAGTTTGAAAAGATTTTTCACCTATGATCATTTTTCGTAAAGTTATGGGGTTTAAAGATTGCCATTTTGGCCAATTTGGGACAATTAACGCGTAAATTATTTCGCGCTATTAACGCGTAAGCGGAGATTTAATCAGTCTTAAAATCGTTCCAAATTGGTTGAAAGAAGCTTATTTGCCATAATTGATTTGTTACAAGGAGCGAAATCTATCCTTTAGTACTTAATATGGCGTGTGGGGGGATGATTTTCATAAAAAATTTCAAACTTAAGAAAAAAAAATTTTAATTTATTTTGATACATTTAATTTATTGATGTTACTACTGCTCCATAAAACCTTAAAAGGCAGTCGGAACATTCAGGGCTTCGCCCTGATACAAGCAGTCTTGTTATATTTTAAAAAGGAAGTTCGATGATTTTTGCGAGGGGGTAACTTTCAAAAAGCACAAAAAGAATTGTCATTCTTTTTGCTTTCTCCAATTTGATTTTCTATACTCTTCCGGAAATTTTCTCCCATATCAATTAATTTCAAAAATAACTAGTTTTATTTTTACAAACACTCATTAGAGATAATAAATTTTTTAAAAATTTAATCGAAGCAAATACTACTGTCTTTTTTAGTATCAAAGCAAATAGAACCTGGTAAGGCAGGGGACGATCCTGGTACGTTGACCAAATTCTTTTCCGAGCCTCTCTCGGATTACTATGAAGCCTTTTTTTGCTCCACAGGCAAGTTTTTGACACAGGGGCAAAACTTCTCTTCGCAAACACTAGCGAAAACATGACAAAAAGCGTCTCTAGATAACGCAATAAGAAAAATAAAATTAAGCCTCGATTTAGCAAAAAGTCGGCTAGGTCTAGGACTCGATATGCGATCTACTGTAATCAAGAGACTTTGAGTCTCATGTACTAACCACTCAACCACGCACGCTTAACCACCGTCAAACACTAGTCATGAAAAAAGCAGCAAAATGAGCTAATAAATTGCCAAAGCCATTCAGCAAAAGTGGCATCAAATATTAGTTTGCAAGTTTTAGTTTGAAATATAACAAACTGAAAGCATCCACACTAATTTTACATGTAACAAATTGCAAAGCATAAAGTCACATTATCTATAAAATATGCATTTCAAAAAATGCGAGATATATTGAGTTAGAAAATTTCTAAAATCGAGTTTTGATTATAATGTTGTTTGAAACAAATAACTTTTTTCGGGGTTCATTTAATGAATTAAAAATGCAGCAAATTGGTTACTTTATTCTATTTGAAGGTCAAAGCACATGCTATCAAAAAGCTGTAAAGGTGCCCCAAAAGTGGCACCAATGTTTGCGACTTAGTTGAGAAAAAAAGAAGGTTCTTAATAATCCACTAAGCTGACGCTAATAAACAGAAACAGTTCAAAAATGCCGTTTTTGGACAATTAAAAAAAAATTTGGTCCACTTTTTCGGAGCGCGCTCCCCTTCAAAATTAGTATATGTTGGCGCCTTCAGAACAATTTTAGAGTGGGTCGGCCGAAAATGGATGTTAAATGGGACCGGTTGGTTGGTGAGGGGGTCGAACACCAAAAGCAAGGCGTCCGTCTCCCCGCACTCCCCCTAAATCCTCCCCCCAGTGTAAGGCATTAAAAAGTAAGGCATTTCAGGCGTGCAAATAGTTTCCAGGAAGGGTTGGCACTTTTTCATAAACTTATGGAGGTTTGGATACTGTAACTCTTCGCAAATTTGGGATGATTGACTCGCGACATATTTCTTTGTATTAGGGCATAGGCGGCAAATTAGTCCGGCTCTTTTTCCAGGTGTGGGTCGATCTCAGACAAAACATGGGACATTCGTGGTTGTCAACTATGACCCCCCTGGAAACATATTATACGAGGGACAGTTCGAGTACAACGTCCAAGAACCACAAGGACATGGATGAAAACAGCAGGAAAAAAAGAAGAAAAATCTACAATGAAGCTGATATTTTTTGTTTGGAATAAAATTTCATGTTTTATTTTTGTATCCCTGCTGACAAACACACAACTACAAAAGCTTGACAATTCACGTAAAACAACAAAATATGCTTTAGATAACTTTTTATGGCAAATTCTTTGGATTTATTTGCGTGATATATAACTTTTCACTTTTCAATTTTTTCTTAGTTCTTCAGAGTTTGAGAAAAGCCTAAGAACAGATTCGTGTTTTCGTAGGTGGGTTTAAATTATGCAAAGAAAATAACTTCAGCAAAATATTGTGGGAAAGTGAGCCTAAAATGATATTTCGGCTCTGACCGAATCATTGATTTCCTACTTAATCGCCCCCCTGAAATCAAACGCACGAGGATGTCATTAGAAACGAGGATGTCAAGCGAAACGAGGATGTCATTAGAATAAAGTTTGGGTCAGTTAATGGATGGAGTTAAAACGTCATCATATGGCGGAACTTATGGCAAGCGAAAGGCAAATTTCTCAAATAAAATAAACAATTTATCTCTTTGATACTGGAATATATACAGAAAAAAATAGTAGCTTTTTCTGCAAGTGACAGCGAAACTTTGAACTACAAAAATGAAGAAAAAAACAAAAAAATCTCAAATACTTTTTTTTCCAAATCGAATTATATACTTAACTAGTAGTAATTATTTAATAATTTAATGGTCATTATTATTATGGTTATTAACTAATATAACTCACACTCTGAGACAGTTCCCATCTGGTTCTGATGTGGATGATGGCCTTGACTATGGCGTCACAGTCATTGTGTATGAAGCACCAGGGAGCAGCATTCACCACAGTTAGAGAGAACTGGTTGTCCTCCACCACGTACACCTCAAATGACATAACACATTACATAATACTTCTCACATAAGGTTTTCTTACGATTATTACGTACACCTGAAAAAACATATTACATAATTGTTAAAATGTTCTTAAATAAAGGTTTCTTAGGTGAATGACAAGGAGACGGGTCTAGTCTTGATCTAGACACTGAACTTAATAAAGAGCAAAACAAACGAAATGAAGGCTTTTTGGCGGTCAATTGAACAATTTAGGTGGTAAACTTACAATTGTTTCAAAACTTGCTTGCCTTCAATCGATCAAAAATAAGACTAACTGGTGTCCTAAATAAAGTTACAGTATTCGGCTAATAATTGTCTTCTAATTGGTCGCCTCGCTTCTGCTTTCTTTGCTAGACTGTCTCTCATAATTGTTTGTTAAGTTCACTGTCTTGATTCACCGTTTCTTATAATTATTATGTAAAAAGTTACTCTTAAAGGGGAGTGCGGTCTGTATTTAGACAACCGCGTATTCATACTCGTCAGTAAGCAGACAAATACTAAATTAACCAATCAGAATCGAGATGGGAAAAAGCACACTTTCGAAATAAATAATTATTATTTATTAATTTCTTCTTTTTCTCGGTTCTAATTGGTTAATATAGTATTTGTCTGCTTACTGACGAGTAGGAATACGCGATTGTCTAAATACTGCTACGTAACCACCTAAAGGATATATTTCATAAAATAGTCACTGGAGTGCCCCGGAACTTTAAGAACTTTTTTGTTGAAAAACATAGTCGATTATACAGATTCCTAACACAAGGTGTGCATATAACCACACTTACCTTGTTTACGTAAGGTATTAGGTAATATTACAGTATAGTTATATAACAAAAAATCACTTCCTATTGCATCCTATTTTTAAGAATCTTTTTTTAAAAAATCGATGCCTTCTAAATAGATGCAATATCTACCTAATGCCGTGCGTAAAGAAGGTAAGTAAGGCACCATTCAATATTTAAAAAAGAGATTCTTAAATATGGGATGCAATAAAGTTTTCACACGAGATAATAAACTTATAATGCACGTAACTTTTGATTACCTGAATAATTATTGTATATTGGTATAATTATTGCAAAAAGAGTAAAACTAAAGGATGCTTAACCAATGATTTAATTCTTTTTAGGGGTGCTTATTTGTTTCTACGGTACCAATAGGAGTGACAGTTGAAAAATACTAATTATGTAACATTACATAAGAGTTATGTAATAGTGACTCACTTCTTCTATCTCTGAGGCATAGCATATGTCATTCAGCACTGCTCTGTGTTCCAGTATCTTCACCTTCTCGGCCGATGTCACCTGGATGGCATTTGAGCCCACTTTGATGACCGCCTTCATGTCTTTGTGCGACAACTTCAAAGCATTTGGAAATACCTATAAACAGATTTTTGGTGTTATACAATAATCCAGCCGAAGTATAAACCATAATTTAGTAGAAGTATTTGTTCCATAATAGTTATAAAAATTATGTACCAGTTACGAAAGTCTTGCCTTGACATGACGGAACTTTTCGGCTGGCCTACATACTCTGTGGATTTGTTGGCAGTTTTACACTTCCGTTTGTTTGTTCACATTAAAAAACTTTTTTACAGATTTTAAAACCACTACTAGGTGAAAAAAAATAACTTCTTGCAAAGCGAAGAAATTCTAATAAATGTGATAACTGGAGCTAATATCCTGATAGATAAGGATGCTGATAGCAAGCAAAACAATCTGAGTCATCCTAGCACTAAATGCTGTGATCGAACAAATAATTTGAAAACGACTGGAAATGCTTTCAGCAAATAGACAAAAACTGCTGACCCGGCTTGGTAGCGACTGCTGATTGTAATCCAATTAACTCAAGTCATTCAATTACATAATCTATTCAATTAGAAAAGACATTTGGTTCTTTTCTGTTAAACAGCCCAAGATTGACAAAATGTTAGTGAGCTTATGTTTTTATTAAAAATTGTCATTTTCTTTTGCTGCTGATTGTTTTGTTAATAATTTCAACCAATCAAATTTGAAATGAAGATGCAATTTTTAAAATAACCATACGATTAGTTTTGGGCCGTATAACAAAAACACCCGAACGTCTTGACGTCTTAACAACTGATGGACCAGGATTGAAAGATATCATCACTAGGATCTGGTTAACGCCCTTCTAATTCGGTTTTCAGAAACTCATATTTGATGGCCACATTTTGAACAGCATAAAAAAATTCTTAGAGAAAAATCATTTAAAACTCTTAAGCTATGTATCAGTAAAAACGCGAGTAGTATAAATACGAGCGCATAAGAATTAAAACTTAATTAGTTTTCTACATTTCTGAAGTAAAAATGTTGGTGCTAGGGATTTAAGCAGACCGGGTTTTTTTAGCAGACTCAGAACAATTATAAAGTGTGTTAGCTAACTTCAAACTCGACATTGGCGATAAGCGACCGCTTGCTCCGCTGCGCTTTAATTCAACACGAGTTTTATTGTGCGCGTAAATCTTTGTTTTCCCGCTAATTTAGACAGTTGTGTTTTTGAAGTTGATAGTTTTGTTGACAAATCGTGAGATAATTGTCTTAGTTGGCGAAGCTTGGTCCCAGACTGAGCGTCTTTTTGAGTCTGTCAATCAATCATCCATCACTTTATTACGTTGGTTTGACTCATTTTAAACTTTTTATGCTAAAAGATTGGCCTGCAAAACGATCGTTTCCCGAAAATTTTATACAGATATGGTTGTCAAAAATAGTACATTCATAGAGAAAATAGTTAACCTGGGTTAACCAAATTATCCATGTGTGAAAAACTTCTTCTCATACAATTCGATATAAATCTAATACAGAGAGTTAAATGAAATCTCTATAAAAAACAATTTTTCGTACATGAAAATTATATGCCTGACAATTTTTCCAACAACCAAAAATTGTTATTTTTGAAGTTTTGCTAGCAATTTTTGTGTTTTTAATCCGAAGAAACAATAACCAAGGATCTTCGATCATACAAAAACCAACTGGTTGAGGGAAAAACCTTACAGCTATATCATAATGGATTCTTTTTGTGCGATAATGCTTCATAGTTTACTCTAACTACGAGCACAAATTTTGAGCACTCGAGGTAAATTTGCTCATCATACATTTTTCTTAGATAGAAATTGTATCATAACAGTGTTTTACAATCAGTGTATTTTCTAAATTCTCGAATTTGTATTTCTCTCATATGCAAATTTTCAATTAAAAAGAACTATGATTGTTGTATTGCATTTCTGAGAAAAAATCTATTAAAATTTTTCTAGATGATGAAAATTCATGTTTTCAAACTTTTTTGGTGGTCGAACGAATAACACTGCGGTCGGAAACTCGCATTCATATTGAAAGAAAATGACTGGAATGTCCCGCCGCCTGGCCGAATTTCTGCTCTGGGGTCTTCTCTGTTATACGAGTGGCGTGTCACGAAGTCGAATAATAAACTGGTTCCCGGGTACCCGAAAAATAAATTCATTCGCGGATAGACGAAAAAATTATTTGTTCCCGTTAACCAAAAAATTCGATTCACTCCATGCCAAAATTAATTGCTAAAAATATTAAATTGTTTAATCATAAATAAGAATAAAAAGGAAAAGCTGAAAAGATCTTATTTTAGACAAAACTTTTTGAGACTAAGGCAAATATTTGAAAAACAACTGGCAATAAATCGGGATTTTGATTTTTTTTGACACTTGCTCCCCGCGTCCATCTCAAGACACTTACTTAATCTTGCTCCTATTTGGTTATTTAGTGGGTAGCCGCAAAATGTTTGTTCTCGGATTGTCAAAAAAACGTTATTGTATAGTCGAAACAAAATTTTTTCCCGGACAGCCAAAAAAATTTGTTCCCGGATAGCCGCATTTAATATTGCGTATCAAGTAGTCGCATTTTTATCGCTATCTGATTTCATGAAAACAAAGCTATTATGCATAGAAAATGTTTTGGGTCTATTGGATTTTTTGTTAGCAAAATTCATCTCAAGACACTTACTTAATCTTGCTCTTATTTGGTTATTTACTAGATAGCCGCAAAATTTTCTGTTCCCGGATTGTCAAAAAAAATGTTATTGGATAGTCAAAACAATTTTTTTCCCGGACAGCCAAAAACAAATTTGTTCCCGGATAGCTGCATTTAATATTGCGTATCAAGTAGTCGCATTTTTATCGCTATCTTATTCCATGAAAACAAAGCTATCACGCATTGAAAATGTTTTGAGTCTATTGGATGTTTTGTTAGCTAAGTTCCGAACAAAAATAGGATAGTTTAATCGTTCGAATAAAAGTGGCCCAAATTTTGTAACGAATTGGACTTTGTAGTCAAATTGTCTTTTGTAGCTAATTAACTTAACAAGAGACTTTCAGTTTTTCGGCTATCCGGAAATGCGGCTCTGTGGTTACGCACCGATGAACGATTCAATCAATATACGATATATACGATTCAATCCTCATACGATTCAATCCTCGATTCATATATACGAATTGAATATACGATTCAATCCTCATAAACGCCCAAATTCCCAATTACAGATACAATTTTTTACCTTTTGGTCCTTCTGTCAGTAAAATTGTCCCCATACTTTTTGAAGTAATTTTTTCTAACATAAAAGCAAAATCTTATTTTTCCAGGTAATATAAAGTAAGAGGAATGCCTCCTGCATCATTAAGAGGGAGGATCGAATGCGCGAAAATTATGCAAGCCAATCAGATTTCAGTGGTCATATATTCTAAGGAAACAAGCAATGAAATCAGCCAGTTTTGGACAGTTTAAAGGCTATTGATTGGTTACGATTGTCGCGCATTCGAACCTTCGCGCATGGGAATCGACCCCCCCCCGTAGAGAAGTAATTCTGACCTTTCTGTCTTCCTCCAGCGCGACTGTTCCCCCAGGTAATTGTTGTTGCTCGGGGGAGACGAAGTCATTCAGTTGAGAGAGTGAGTCTAGGAACACCAGCTTACGGTTGGCCTAAAATTCAAACAACACCCAAATTTGAAGTTTGCATTTGGGCTTTTTTCGTATATCAAGGAGTACCTCGACAACTCGCAAAACTAGACAGCTCTCAGTTATAAGAAAAATGACAGCTCGAGAAAAGTTTGATGAGAGAGAATTAGATTAGAAAGCAACCTCGGCTAGCTGCTCGAACTCTTCGCCACGGAAAAGGTTTTTTATCCTGAGCTTAGCGGCACCCATTTCTTGTTACCACGAGAACTCGTAGCAAATTTTTACGCATTCGGTATTTAGCCTATGAGAATAGATTTCATCACAATCAATACAAGTGGTATTCAGTGCCTACAAATTGTTGTATTAAGCCATTTCTGTCCGAAAAAATGTAACCTTTTTGCGTGAATTTAACGCTAAAAGTTCAGACAAGCGGGGAAGGCCGCACCGAGAAATAAACTATTTTGTTTCTGTCATGACGGCTTTCCTAAGTGCTTTAGAAGTTAATGATACGATAACTAATTTTATCGGCCAAAAAACCAGAAAAAATTCTACATTTTTTGAAAAACATCTCACTTTCGAAAACCTTTTATGCTCTCTAGGTTAAAACTGTTTTCTTACCTTCAAACCGACAAGCAGTCTTTCGTGATATTTCACATACTCACGAAGCCACGAATTAAAGTTGATCACGTAAGCATACGCCAAGTTATGGAACATAATATCAGGAAGTACAATCATCGCTTTCTGGAGAAACTCAGTTTTAAATCGGTTTTCAGGGCCCGTATGAGTGAAATCTATCACTACCTCATAGGGTTTTGACATGTAAGGTTTGAGGGTAAGAATCACGTGAAATAATAACATATCACTGTTGATTGAATCAGTTTTGAATCGGCGAGAAATATAATAAAAAACTGGGTTTCCTGATTTTGAGTATCCACTTTGGTAGAAAATATTCATCGATTGAAGAAGTTTAAACTCGTCGTTCGTATGCGCTTGATGTTTGAGCATGAACTCTTCAAATTTGGGGGAGGTTAGATAATCCATGGTCGAAAGATGAGACTCGTAATGCATTTTGCAGTTTTCAGGAGGGCCTAAGTAAGCTAGAAGGGTCACTAACTTCTGGAAAGGTCGTCTCCCAATTACTTTTAAATCTCTATTTGTTGCCAAATAAGCGCCAATTGCTTCTTGGTAAGAGCTCAACAATCGGTGCAAAGATATCAACGAAACTTCTGTGACGTATGATTTGTGGTTGTTAATGTATTGTAAAATTTGGGTTTCGTTGGCGAGGTTCGAGAAGAATCTCCGCCCATTTTCGAATTGACTGGCTACGAATTCGTTGAAATATCGCATGTGAAGTTCTTTGGAAAACAGAACCTGAAATATTTGTCGGTTTTGGAAAGTATCTCAATGATAGTATATTATTTAAGCGTACAATTTTTTCAGTTTTTCAATATCTTTTTACATTTTCGGATGTTTATCTAACTTAAGGGCAATTTTGGTGTATTTGATATTAAAAATTCAAAACCAAACTCTGGAGACATTTGATAAAAAAATATTTGAGTATATGGAAACTACGAAAGAAATTTTTTTTGAGAGGAGTTTCAAGTTCAGATTAAAAGTATTTTTAGAGACTGACAAACCTGATTAGCGATGTTCTGCATGATTTTGCTCATCAACATCAATCCTCTTTGGATCCTGTTAAAAACCATTCTAACTCAATTTCTCACATCAAAAAATAGTCATCACTCTAAATATTTACGTAGCACTTAGTTTTCTAAATAATTATGAAGAAAACCATTAGTTGCCTCTCCATTAGCCTGCTTTGCATAATAATTTTTTTTGTGTTAAATGATTAATTTGAGCTAACTTGATTAATTAGTTGTTTTTCTAGGGCCAACATCTTAAGGGCCTTGTGCCTAGCGTTGGTCCTAGGCGGGCAAAAGTTTATTGATTATAAAATTGAACTGCTTTAAATGTCATTGACAATGTCCGCTGGAATTTTAAATTTAATTTAATTTAATAATCAACTGGTCGCCATGGTCGCTTAAGATTAAGACTGTTCAAGATTCGGTAAAAACTGCACTTGATATTCGGCTGTTGAAAAAACATAAACGACACAGTTGGAAAACAGTCATTAAACTCAAGGAAATCGGCAAAAACTACTGATTTCGAAGAAAAAGCTATATGGTTTTAAAACTATGAATTTTTCAAAAATAATTCAGACAAAAAATCTTGGTATCATTCGACTATCTCGACCAATTTAATGCAATAAAAGATTATAACGCAAAAAAAGTATTACTGTGTGGTATAAAACACCCGCTTCGTAAACGCAGTATAAGCTTCAAAACATACCAGACTCTGGTCGAGAAACTCGAAAGACACCGAATTTTAACCAAGACGGTTGAAGCCTAAAGTGAGCACTCAAACTGGGATGCTACTATTCCTTATATAATTTATATAATAATATATTTTCAAATCGGTAAATTACAATCAAAGTTCCATTTATGTATAATTTGATCAAGCAGCAACTTGGGAATCATCAGGAGCGTCCAATGATGCCGCCTTCTCGAGGTTGGACCCCACGCTCGTCGCCGCAAATGACACCAAAACCACCTCCTGTGTTTGGGAGCGCAGAAAGATCATCAGTTTATCTTTCGATATTATAGTTACCTGTTATTCGGCTGCTGGTAGAGCAGTCCGTTCTCATATGGAGACACAAGAGCCGGATTTATGAATCGGAGGAAGAGAGCACTCCCCACTGAGGAGATGGCAGAATCAGGCCACCTGTTGGAGACCACTTTGTGCAGGTAGATACACACCACCTTCAGCTGAATCGGTATTCTGGAAAGGTTAAATATTGGTCTTATGGCGCTCTCTCAAGTGATGGTAACGTAAAAGAATTCCTTATGTCTACTTTTGATAGTGTAGTGATATCACTGTGTAGTGGAAACACTGCAGTATTATTATTATAAATTTGGAAAATTATATCTGATTCGAAATGATTTCATTAATTTTAACATCTCATCAAAAACATCATAAACGATAATTTATGATCCTATTTAATAATTTATCCTAAGTGTGAATTTTAAAATGAAGAATAATACAATTAATCATTTACTAATCTCTTCTTAGCTAAGTTTTTCAGTTGCAAGAAATCAGTTATTGAGGAATGATCAAAATTTTCTGGAAAAATCAAAACAAAAATCAGCAATAGATCAAAATTAAACAGAGGCAGAGCGGAGCTTCGTATCATTTGCGATAAAACGCACGCAAAGTATTGAAAGGCAGAGAATAAAAATAGACGGAATCACTAGCAAAAAAATGAATAGTTGGAAGTCTTTTTTAAACATTTGGAAAAAAGCAAAATCAGCAAACACAAGCATTCAACAAACTTCATTCACCTAGCGTATACATAGTCGACAAAACTTGAGTAGTCGCCCTTCGAGACGAAAACAAACAAATGCCATGAAAAATGGTTGCGTGCACTGAAAAATTTCAGATTAAAATCGACTTAAATCGATTTGTTACAGACAACATACTGCATAAAAATCAATTTACCTCAGCCCATTTAGACACAGATTCAGAATGGATTTGAACGAATTTTACTGTAGAAAAATAAACGATTCTATTGCCTAAGATTCAGTAGTCCGATACAGTCACTTTCGGAGAGTTACTAACTTCGAACCAAAAATTTTCGGAGAATCACCCAAACTTTTCGCAATATAAAGCTTCACGCAGTGAGTAAAAGCTAGTTCAGGTAAATTTCTTGAACTTACATTTTTTGGAGATCAATAATTTAAGAGCAATTGTGTATAAAATATCAACAAAAAATGAAAAATTCAATCTAAAGCAATTAATTTAGCTGATGAAACCTCGAGTTTTGTTTTCTTGCAAGTCAAACATCAGCACAAAAAAGTCAACTGCAAAGCATTTTTTCAAAATTTCTTATCAATTAATTCAGATTGATTGATGTGCCAGATCCTCAAAAAATGTGTAATTAATCCATGTAACAACTGTATAATATAACAACTGTATAATATAAAAATAGAAAATCTGCATATTATCTGCATATAAACTGTATAGAGTGACTATAAAATTGAGTGGTTAAAAATCGAATTAAATCTATTTAAACTATTTTAACTACGTATAAAACTACATTATTAAAACATAGCCAACTGACAGTTTTTAATTCCTCTGGAAAATCTGAACATTAAAATTACGTTTTTCGTGACCTTTACACTTTTTCTGTTCGATAGTGGATTTTGCCTTCCTTCTAACAAAAGAAATGAACTGAACTTGAAAAAATTCAAACAGCGAAAAATCAAAAAAATCGAGCGTGTACAAAGTGTAAGACTTTTTCCTGAAAAAAGGCAAAACACCACTAAAACTTATATAAGAGTACTCATCACGTTCAGTTTTTGTTAAAAAAACCAAAAACATGGATTGAATTTGATTCAAAATTGATTGAAACGAAATGTTTTAACTACCTTTGATATCAAACTAACTCGATTTTAAATCAGATTTTTCAGGTCTTTTCAACAATAGCCTTTTAAAATCGATTGCAAACCATTTCTTATCATTTTTTTTGAGCAATTAAGTATAAAAACTATTACACCACCTCTTGAACACGCAAAATGGTAAAAATCAATTTAACACGCAAAATGGTAAATAATATGTTAAAAAGGATTAAGCCGATGATATATAAGCCTAACCAATTTGATTGAAAAAAAAATTAAAAAACTTTCAATTTTTGAATTGGTAATTTACAAATTACAAAGTGACGGTCAATATAGTATGAAAAATTAAGGAAGAAAAAAATCCCATGCTTATAGAAATTAAGCAAAAAAATTAGCAGACAAACTAAAGTGAGACAAGACAGTTCACTTCTTATCCGACAAAATTCAATTTCATACATACTGAAAATACAAGAACCTGCCTTTTCGCGATTACAACTCACTTGCTATCGCAATTGAAATACTACTTAAAATAGCAAAAACAGTAAAAATGAAGTAAGACTAAATTCTAAGAATTAAACCATAAAAATAACTTTATCTCAATTGAGATCCAAGCCATAATACCGAAGAAACAAAACAAGCGCCAATCAAATATTTTTTTTTGCATTAATTCTAGGAAACTTAGGAAAAAACTCACTTTTCTGATGACATCATGATGGTGTTGAAGAATCTCTCGGTGAGGGCGATCAAGTTGGCCTGATTGTCTTCCAACTTCTCATTCCTCTCCAGTTTAGTCGAGTCGACCTGCGAAAATCAAAAGTAATAATTTAGTGAGCAAAAACAACCTTAAAGTTAAAGCAATTCAAAGTACAGCAAATCAAAAAAGATTATTCGATCAAATATTTCTAATACATTAAGCAAGAAACCATAGATAAAGCAATGCTTAGAAATTCTTAAAACATAGTCAACTGACAGTTGGAAAAGAGTAATGAACGCAAGGGTACTGAAAAAAAACCGACTTGTTTTTTCAAAATTCTTCAACTTTTGAATTTCGAATAAAAAATTAGACGGCCTTAATCTCTTTGAATTTGTAGAACAATTATCTTGGACACTTTTTGTTAAAATTAGCTCAATTTGAGAAAACTGGATCAATAGGTAAAACTTTTATTTCGCTGGGAAATCTGATAATTAATTTCCATTTTCAAAATTAAAAGTCGATCACGTTTTTCGTGACTTTTACAATTTCGCTGTTCGATAGTGGAGTTGCCTTCCTTTTAACAATAGAAATACACTGAACTTAAAAAAATCACAAGTCAAACCGCGAAAAATCAAAATTGAGCGTGAACAAAGAGCGTGGACTTCTTCCTGAAAAAAAAAAAAAAATCAGCAAGACCTATATAAGAGTCTTCACTACATTCATTACTCTTAAAAATTGCAATGATAATTTGCCAAAATACACAAAAATAACTAATATGCCGAAGTCAACTGCACATTTTTTAAAGAGTTTGTGCACCAGCGAGTTTGGGGGGGGGGGCTTTGTACTTTTTTGAGATATCATTTTATGACTGATTGGCCCTAAAAAACAAGTCGGTTTTTTAGGGTCTCCCCCTCAAAATTAATATATACTATTTTTGAGGGGGAGCGCGCGCCAAAAAAACGCAATTTTTTGGTCAAACTTTTTCAAAAAGTGCCTAAAACGTCTTTTTTGCCTGTTTTTTCAAAAAAAAAAATTGCCTGCGGCGCAAAAATTTGGTAAAAGCGGGGTTTTTATAGTAATTTAGAAGCCTCCTCCTCTTCTGGAGAAAATCCTAGACCAGCAAAAAAGATAACTATTAAAAATCTAATGGAAAGAATTGTAAATGTCTTCGCACTGAATATCGTACTGTATATTTACTGTATATCAATTGAAGTCAAAACTTAGCACAAGAAAAACAAAATGTGGAAAAAATACAGAAATAAACGTGAAAAATAACAAAAAACCAAAGAATTCACACCTCATAGGAGCACTGAATATTCTCTTCTCTGAACAAGTCTTGTAGTAGAGGAGATATGACTTCTTGGAGGTAGCAAGTGCCGAAGAACTTGAAACAGTATGTCATCACTTTACAAGCTAAGCTGTTGCCACGCAAGAAACAGTGCATGTTGTCCGCTGCGTCTACCTGAAAGGAGAGTGTTGCAAGAATTTTTTGCACATGGTCAGAAAATTTATTTTCAATCAAAACTAATGTCCGCTGCGTCTACCTGAAAGAAGAGTTGCAAAAAATTTTTTGAACAATCAGAAAATTTATTTTCAATCAAAACTAGAATTATTCATTTATTCATCATGAGTAATAAATTTTCGATAACTAAATTTACAAAAAAGAGTTTAGCTCATACTAGGGCAGCCAGAAAGCCAACATGCAGCTTGTTGAAGGCTACCCCGTAAAATAGTAAAAACCAATGATATCAACTGTTAAATGAAATAAAGATCAAACAATAGACTTTTTGTTAATTATTGAAAAGAATACAAATTGAGAATTATTTGAGTTTATCATCACTTGAAGGAAAACAACTCGAACGTTCTCATAATCGTCTCCAACACCAGCGAAACTTGAAGCAAATTGAAGCATTCTTCCTTGACACTGGGAAAATTTATGAGATATTTATCATTATATTGTGAACTATAGATATGAGTCCGCAATGCTTTAATGAAACTACAATTTTTTTCCCTCGTCTTCAATAACGAAACAAAACTGGTAATAACTTACTTCTCTCGAGAACAAATTGAACAACAGTTGATGTAGTAGATTCTTGGCATCAAACAGAGACACCAGGACGCGACTCAGTTCGTCAATGTGTTGAGGGGACACGACACTGGACAGTGCCATCACAATAGGCAGTTCTCCTCTGTCGGCTGACAACATAGTCACGTGATCCACTAGTTGTTCATACCTAGCACAAAAATACTACGGTGTGAGTTAACGTCTCCCCCCCCCCCCCCTTAATAGACCAAGATAATGTTTTCTACTCAGTAGTTAGTTTGAAGTAAGACGAAAAAACTGCTTGAGATGTTCCCTGTTTGTGCTGCATGATTTCGCAGCTATTCTTTGGTAGAACAAAAAATTTTTGCAAGTTTTGAAATTTATCAACAATTATAAAAGTTTTTTCAAGATTTTCGATGTTAAAAGCAACTCTGATAAACTATTAATGCCCGTTACAACTTTCGGTTCCTTCGGGAAACTTTTTTCATAATTTTCTACAGTTTGTCTAATTTTTGTACCAATAGCTGATCATATAGTTTGAAAGTCTCTTAGGGTTACTTTAACAGACTCTCAACAATAACTTTTTCCAGCCTACAAAATCAACCAATTTGAGCTAAAAACTGCAAAACAGAGATACTGAAATGATTTTTTTTCGCAGCGCTTTCAGTAGGCTGGATAGCAGTCAAGCGCAGTGGCGGATCTAGGATTTTCTCGAGGGGGGCGGATTTGTGGACTTTTTTTATATCGACTTTTTTTATTTTCTGAGCTCTCCCAAATCACTACAAAGACCTCATTTTGACCAAATTTTCTGCGCTGCAGGCTAAATTTAAAAAAAGCCAAAAAGGCGTTTTTAGGCACTCTTTGGAAAATTTTGACCAAAAAATCGCTTTTTTGGCGCTCGCTCCCCCCTGAAAATTAGTCTCCTGAAATAGCAGCATCAGTCATCCAAAAATGGACATCTGAAAATAGTACAAAGGGGACCCTTTGGGTAGGCAGGGGGTCGAATCCCTAGGGGGGGAACGTCCGCCCCCCCCCCTAATTCCGCTGGTGGTCAAGCGTCATCTTAAGACTGGTTTGCAAATAATCAAAAACAATGGTACATCCGTTTTCCGCAAAGCTTAATAACAAAATTTTCTTTGTTATGACTTTCTAAAAAAGTGAAGGAATATTTGCGCTGGTTTTTTTCTCCAGATAATCGCTCTTAAATTGCATCGAAAACATGTATTGAATTGGCATGTCGTTAAATTTTTGAGCTTATTTAAAATTCTTACAATAAATAAAACTAATGGGTTTCTTTTTCGTAATTAAAAAAAATAAAAAAAAATGGTATTGGCTTTCGAATAATTCTTTTGAGAAGGCATAGTTTGCAACTAAAATTTAAACCTGCTTAATAGACGATTTAGTTTCAGAATAGCTCAAAAATCAATTTTCTGGCATTTATCGAATTGATATGATACTTTGATTGAGTGCAATGCAGTGTACCTATCAGATCTGACAGTTTCGGCCAGTGTTTCAAATTGAGTTCCTCTCTGGAGTATTTTCGTCAGCACTTCAATGAAAGTGGCTCTAGTCTGAAGATCTTTCTGGTAGCCAAGACCTAAAAAAACAACACAAATCAGAATGATTTCTACGGTGAAACTGCAAAGTAATGGCCGAAACGATAAAAGCGAAAATTATTTTTTTTACACAAAGGCGAAGTTGCACATACACAAGCAAAAATATGACCGATAACGCTACTGGGAAAAACTGAATCAGTAAAACTTTACTCAAGAGTACATTTTTTCTGAGGTAACGCATACCAATTATAAGTCTACATAATTGCTAAGTGATGCAAGCCAAATATGACGCATTAGCCAGTCAATGTGAAAAAAAAAATTCCAACAAACATGCCTCAACTTATAGAGCGGACGCATTTTAGCTACCATACGAAAAAGTTCATTAAAAACATCCGACCTTGCCCAGGTTTGAACTTTCTTATTTTCTTGCGGGTCTCCTTCCCTACCTGTACGCTACAGATCCATGATACCTTGAAGCTAAAGTGCTCTTTTTGTAATATAATAGTCTGTGTTAATACCCTTAGAATTGGCTGTACTTAATTGCTGGTTATTGATCAAAATGAACACTTTCAAAATGAACACTAACATTTATGGCTTAGGTAGGAAAAAAAGGAGAGCTCATACTATCACGCAAGCTTTGCTTCTGTAAAATGCAAGAAAATATTTTTAAAAAATCCTGAAACTGAGAAATGCATTTCTTAGAAATAGAAAACGCAAACTGATTGTTTCAAATACGTTTCTAAGAAAAGCAAAACGAAAATTTTAACGAATAAACACACAACTGGCAATCTTTGAACCATAACTGTACAAAAAATGATCACAGGTAAAATATCTTTTCAAATTTAAGCTAGGGACAACAATACTTTTTGAATGATCTCGAAAAATTTTGACAAAAATGGCTAGTTAAAAAGTCGAAATTTGTCTGAAGAAAAAAAATCACCACGAGCACAAATATTCCGTTACTTTCGTTACAAAAGCCGGAACAAAAAAGTTGGTCTTAAAACTTCTCAGCGTAAATCTGATTGGTTAACAACTGTTAACTTGATTACAATAAACAGCAATGAAGAAAATCAATATACTGAGTTTACATTTCATAAAAAGAATTCACGTTAAAATGTTAATCGCTCCATGCATTGACTTAAATATAGAGTAATCAATGCGTAAGCGAAAATCATTCGAGCGGGCAAGTTATTAATTTGCATAATAGAGTTAATTTGTGTAATATCAAAACCTGTTTAACAAATTATAATTAAATTCCACACGCAGTCCTTCCGGATTTCGAATTCTCATAAAAATATTGTAAGAACTCTTGAAAGCTGATACATCTTGTCAGAATTCTAAAGCAACTATTATAAAAAAATGAAATCTGATATGAGACTTAATTACATGAAAAAAAATATGATGTAGAAATCTAATAAGAAAATAATACAGACGCCATTTTTGATGCTGTTTCCGGTATTTCAAAGTTTCTACTAGTCTAGATGATACACAGCAAAACTAGTAGCCAAACTCGGTACTGTTGAAAAACGTATCACTCATGATAAAAGATACGCGGAAATTTTCCGAGTCAAACTTGATTTATCAAATTCTAACTTGATTGTTTAGTTAGAAGTTTAAATAGCTTACAAATCACAGCTCAATTTTCAACAAAAATCCAAAAACTTTTATCGAGCGGAAAATGAGCCGAAAAAACTTTGGGAAAAAGCCGTAAAACCGAAAACAAAATTGTTGCCATGAAAAATTTTAATTATTTTATAACTAACATATCTAGTTATAAAATAATTAGAGTTTTAATTTCTTTTCTGAAAATTTTAGCTTTTGTGCGATCCAGAGTGGAGCTTAAAAGTTAGGAAACGACTCAATTTCAGAACCGAAATAATTTGAGCAGAATAAAGTTTTTAAGCGAAAAAAAAAGAAAATATACAAAGTCGAGACTAGTAAAACTACAAACAGCAGAAGTGAATCGAAAAATTAAAAGTAAATACAATGTAAATTATGTACAGCACAAGAACTCTACGATGTGGCAACTCATGTCATATAAGAATTGTATACCAATGGTGCAAGATTTTGCATTCCAAACTGCAAATTAAAAGATTTCAAAATTTTTAAGGATTTTTTAAACGGTTTTAAACGTTACGAGGCCAAACTGTGTATTTTTTGCATTGTAAGCGGATTCCGCAACAAGGACGCTCTTTTTGTTCTTTATTTTCCTTTGATAGTTCCGACAAATTTTAACATGTTTAAATACTTGTCTCTGGAATCCAGGATCATACAGACACAAAATTGTGCGCCTATCCAAAGCACAGTTTGGCCTTTTAATGAAGATTTCTCAAAAAGTTTCAAATTCTTTCTTACCGACGCACAGAAGAAAATTCTTGACTTTTTACAAACATTTGAACAAAAATACAAACTTTTGTATAGGTTTACAAAAAAATTCTATACAAAAACTGCAAGTCACTCGATACAAATAACACTGACCAAAGGACTATCAAATCCTCCCCATTTCAGGGACAACAATTATCATGCTCGCTTAATATGAACCATTTTAGAAGATTTTAATGCTGAAATCTGATTGGATAAAAACTGTTGACTCGACTCAATTACTAACCAATGGAATGTATCAATCCTGCGTCTATATTCGCACTGAGAAGATTACTCATTGCTTCCACAGTGACAGCCCTCAAAGATGCCACAGTAACAACTCCTCCAGAAGCACCTCTCAGTCCCCCACCCTCTCCACGTTCACCACCTGCACCCACCCCACCTGTCAATCAACGGGATACAATATTATCAAATAAACCTGGTTTTGGCTCTGTTCCAGCTGCCCTTTTTACCAATCACCTGTTACTAAAATTTGTAAGTTTTTTAAACAAATATATCTTAAAAGAAAATTCCGGTACTTATAGCAAAACATTGTCAAAATTAACCCACTAATTCACATCTACAGACTTTGGGCTATTACTGAACTGATCACTATCTCAAATCTGGATTAAGATTAGGACAATTTATCCACAAGAAAAAAGATCAACATACGAGCTGCTAGATCTTCACGGACAACTGCTGTTGTACCCCTGGTTAAGAGCTACATCAAATCATTAGTAGAGTTGTAAATCATAAGTAACAAAAAATTTCATCATTTTCACTTACCCGTTAGTCCGCCACATCCCCCTAGGTTCGAGAACATTCCATATCCTGGTCCGCCGTAACCTCTCTCCATCTGCTGTCTGTCTCCACCAAGTTGGTTCAGACCTCCAGCAATTGAGTCCCCTAGTGGCATTCAATTTAACAAAACCTAACTTCTACTGTTGTTAAACGGTTACGAAGCAAAAAGTGCCATAAAGTAGACACTTCGTAAGCCAATCAGAATAGAGAAAAAGAAGTACTTCGTACGTTTGTTTTCTTATCTCGATTGAGAGATTTTCTTATGACTTGTAGACTTTATGACACTCGATTGTGATTGGCTTACGACTTGCCTGCTTTATTACATGTCTTCTTTTTGACCGGACTTAATATCAATCTTATCAAATGTTTGCTAAACCTACTGTTTAACAAGATTACCTTAATCTTTTCGAGTAATAGAGACACGGCCCAAGAATTTTTTTAAAGTTTCTGCTGCAGGAAAAACTTTCAGAGTAATCATGCGTTTATTACAAAAAATTACGCTTAGCATAACAAGAAAAAATCACATAATTTTGAGCCTCTTCAAAATATAAAACCGGTTGCTCTTTAAAATATTTTTCTCTATAGGCCGAATTCTGCCAGATTCTGCTGCTAGCTGAATCTTTGGCGCCTGAATAGAGACCATAAATCGTTGTTTAAACAAATGCATAAGTTGTTATGTACTTAAACAATAGATTATCTGTGTTTATCATTTTTAAAGTTTTTTTTTCAGTGGAAAATAACACTAATTTTTTACATAATTATTGGACTGAAAGAGACTTAAAAATGATTGACTTTTTTTGAAAGCAATTAAATTTTTGATTAAAAAAAAAACTAATGTGGTAATAAATAAATATATAAAGATAAATATAGAAATGAATAGATAAATAAGAAAACAAATACATTTTATTCCGCTGGAACGTCTGATTATTTAAACTTATTTTGAAACTAGAAATTATAAGCAATTAAACAAGCCATTTTCATTTTTGTTAATTAAGTGTAGTTTATCTTAAAATCAAAAAGACCTATAAAGTGTCTTCACAGCGTTCAATGACATTTCATTGGTACCTGGTAATAATCAGGTAATCACGAGTTCTGCCGCTTCGTGTTTGACTATTAAAACGAAACTATAATTCGTACAGACTTTTCAGCGTTTAAATATGGGAAACAACTTTTCGAAACCTGATCGGCTGACGACTGAAATTTCCTGCAAGTCTTGATTATCTCCCATCTGGTAGTCTGCCTGTTGGTACAAATTGCCCCCTCCGCCCCACATATTTCCACCCCCTCCCCCACCTCCAAGAGCACCCAGTGCTCCTCCTAATGTGCCTGGGGTGTAATTGTACTGCAGAGCAAGGTCACGTGCCACAGAACAACAGTGCTGGCCTGAAACACAAATTCATTTTTAGAAACAGAGCTAACGAAAACACAAAAAAAAATTCATGAACCCAAAAAAGAAAGCACAAAAAGGACTGAAAAATGACTGATTATTTCTGAAGCATTTTCAAAATAATGGCAAAAAAGCTCTTTGAATTTGAAGAAACTTCTGATTGACACTTTTGTATATACAAAAGTAACCCAAATGGAGCGAATCGGATCAATTGTTAGTTATTTTCTTCAGCTGAGACAATTAAAAGTTGATATCCATCTTTGATTATAGCATTGAGTCACGTTTTAAATACGCGCAATTTTCACCTTTGTCATCGAATGTGGATCTCATATTTGGATTTTGCAATTTATTTTTTTCTAAGCCAACTTCAATTTCATTTGCTAATGGGAAGACAAATTAGAAAAACACTATGACATTTAGAAAAAAACTCATTATAAAATCAAAACCCTTGTATCTTATTAGATCCAGTTTATCATGCTTTAGGTTATCATCCGTTACAGTTATCGGTACTTTGCCTTGAGCAAAATATTTGTTTTTTTTTATTCAATGTTTCAATGGGAAACGTTTGTCATATCTACGTGGTACATATGCCGCCAATGCTATAGCTCTCATGCCATTAGTTCCAACGCCACGCATTTTCTAAATTTTGTTATCACTGTATCAAGTCTTTCAAACTTAAATAGGCTGATATCGTCTGTTTCATTTAATTAATTTTTGTTTAGGCAAAGTATATTGAACGGAGACTCGAGATTAACTAGACAAGCTTCTGAATCTGTGTGACAACTTTTAGAGATTGTAGATGAGATAAAAGAACTTTAATACTAGTGCAATTCAAATTAATACAGAACTCATTTGATTCATGATCCTTCCTGTTCATTACAAGTCCAAAAAACACCATTCAAGCAGCTCATCACTTTTTCAACAATAAGTTTTAGAAAAACTCCAACTTATTACAGTCCAAAAATTTAATATGTTTTCTGATCGCTCTTGCACACAAAATATATTGTTTCCTCTCTCGTACATGTTGATAAAATTGTTTCATCCCCTTTCATCATCATCTTCATGAAAATGACCTTATCAGTACTCAAATCTTCGCAAATTTTTATAACTTGCATTTTTTTGATGTTTCCTAGGTTTCTTTTGGTTTGCCGTTGATGATTCTTTTAAAAGCTGGGCAAATTGAACTATTACCGTTTTCTCTCAGGTCGTTCCTGATGGCAACCTATGAGCGATGAAAATTTCGACTTTGACAATTTGCGCCTCTAGTGCTTCACCAAAATCTACCATTTTGTTAATTCCATAATTTTTCTCTTCGCTCTTTATCATTTATCGTTTCAGCTAGGCCACAAATCTTTACGTTATCTCTTCGATAATAAATTTCCAATAACTCTGCCTCTGAAAGAGTTTTCAGAGTAAAATTTTCTCGAGCATCTTCAACTCACTCTTTAACACAAAACTATTTCGTCTTGAAATCTTGTCACTACTTCTAATACTGCCAAATCAATCGCTTGCCTGACTTAGTCTTTAACATTTACCAATTTGGGTATCAGGCCACTTTTTGATATCACATCTTCGACTTTCTTGGACATTTTCATTTGCAAAAAAAACTTCCTTCACCTATTCCCCTCAACCCACGAGGACTCAAATCGTTAAATGATCTTTAGCTAGAAGGATTGGAGCAAACAGCTGTTTGACTATGATAGTTCAGCGGTGCCATCTCTCTGGTTGAACAATCTTTCATTTCAGTATTCATAGTCTTTCTCTATTGAATAAGTTTATCATAACAATTAGATTACAATTAAGCAACTAGTTCTGTACGGTAGTAAGCTTTGGAAACCATTCCAACCGATTGCTACAGAGTTTTTATAGAGCGATTTGTACTTCTGGAAACCGTTATCGCTTCGGCAGGTGGGTGCGAGGGTTCGGATTGTTGCTTGGCCGTGTCGAATCATCTCTAGTATTCGTCCTATGAGTTACTTTAAGTTGGCTTCATTAATTCCCATTTGAGGGGGGCTGGTTGTCAATCTTAGTTCACTTGGGTTGTCAGCCATAGCAGGGACTATATCTTTGAAGCTTCAGACTAATTTAGGGGCGACTATTTGTTTGCTTCACTACTTATATCATTTGTTTATCTATCTTAGGTTAAGATTACTATTTCTTGGATTAGAGCAGAATCAACATTTCTACAGTAAGAATTTTATACGACAAAAATCTCTCAAATGGCTTCTTTTGATGCATCGACTGGTGAAGTTAGAAGCAAACTTCAATATAATGTACCAAAAATGGATGTTAATGTAAAAGAGCAGATTCCTGATAACAAACGAGAAAAAAGTATCTATGATGAGCCTGCACATGTTCAACGCAGCAGCGGACAAACAGGGGAGAAACAGCCACAACAGAATAATTGGCCTGTCCGATGCTTCTTGGTGATGATGATCGCAATGCTGGTTGCCGTTGTGTTTCTGGCAGTAAGTAGAATGTAAAATGTGAACTTTTTAGCAAGAATAATGAAGTTTATATCGGCAGTTTTTTGACAAAAACGAAAATAACAGTACTTCTTACAGTCAGAGCATCGGAACGATGTTATTCAATTACACTATTCAGTTACTCAATATTTTCGAGGAAGAGTTTCATCAACTCGAGACACCACATCTTGACAGCAGCACAAGGTTAACAAAACTTTTATCTCAAAGTGCACTAGGGATAAAAAAAGCAAAACCACGCAGAATCAACTTTAACCGCAGATTTGATCAAACAAAAAACTGGAAAGTTTCCTAATTCAATCAAGAAAAAATAATTATTTCCTAATTCAAGGCTGCGAAAATCTGGGCGAAAATACGGTCCGACAAAATCCACTGCAACAGTTTTGCAACAGCCACATGAAGGCCCCATATGCAACCCGCAATAAAGTACAACACTCGTGATTAAACTCTCTTAACTAGATCTATCTATGCTTGAACATTGCAATGTTTGACTTGTAATAAGCAAAAAGGCCTAAAATTAAAAAAAAAAAAACTCTTCGCTCATATTCTGAAGCATATAGCGAGGCATTGAAGCATTTCCCCCTTTGTAGACTTTAATGGGAGACTTTGATAGCCAAAAGTAGCCCAATTTGGAAATATAAAATTTCGTCTGTTGTTATCCGAGTGCATCAATAGAGCGACATTGAGTAAAAACATAACAAATTTGGTTAAAATCGAGAGCCACACAGAAAAACGCGCGTGAACACTTCCATTGAAAAAGTTTCATTCAACTGAAATAAAAGGAATTTACTTAAAAACGTAGCCAACAGAAAGTTTAAATGAGTTGAAGAAAACACGAATAAAAAATAAACAAATTTAAGTAATTATTCGAGATTTTTTCTAGACAGTCATATGGTCACTATTAACTCGTTCAATTTTTAAGACTTCCAACTATGTACTCAAACAATTTCAAAATAGAAAAAAAACATGGTGAACACCGTCAACAAACTCACCAAATTTTAGCAAAAAAAAATCGAAGAAGCGGCAGCTAAGCCGAAAATCAGAAGCAGACAAATAATAAGCAGAAAATTTTTGGAAACGGAATATTTCACTTTGGCAAAAACAAGCACTGCTCAGATTCGAACCAAGGACTTTTGCTGTCTCAGGCGTATAAAGTACCAAATGATTCTGTTAAACAAGATGTTAACCCGGAGAAAAATAATATAATCCGGTTTGATTACGCTTGCTAATAGCAAGCATAACAAATGGAACTCGGAAAAATGCGAACTAAATGCAGAGCGTAGTTTGCCTTCCTTTTGTCAAATAATTTTCACTTGAACTTAACCGAAATCGTAAGTCAAACCGCTCTTTGAAAAAACTAAAAAACCACACGATTATTAAAAGTGTTTTCTTAGTACTGAGTTCTAATAGGGCGATTTGTACTTCTTGGAACCGTTATCACATGGGAAGGTGGGTCCGAGGGGTTCCGTTTTTTGCATGCCCGTATCGAATTATCTCTGGGTTTATTTAAGTTAACGGGTGTAACTCATAGAAATTCGCAAGTGACTTCCTCCTCCTTGAAACTCGTTTTTTTAAAAAGAATATACACTTGCGCGAACACGACCAAAAAGCAGCTCTATCAAGTGAAATAAAAAAGAGTAGAAATAGGCCTCAAATTAGCAAAAACTCGGCTACGCGTAGTATTCGAATCTGCGACCTACTGCAATCAAGAGATTTTGAGTCTCACCCAGTATCCACTTAGCCACGCAAGCTCAACATCAGACAAAAACAAGTCACAAATAAAGCAGCCACATATGCTAATAAATTGCTAACGCGACTCAGCAAAAGTGGAACTAATTACAAACAGACTCAATTTTGCAACGACTGAAGGTATATAACGAACTGAAGGCATCCACACTAACTTTGCAAGTACAAAATCGCAAAACATAAAGCCACATTATGTATAAATTATGAATTTCAAAAAATTGCGAGATATATTGAGTTGGAAAATTTTCTGAAATCGAGTTTTTATTATTATTAAGTTGTTTTGAACAAATAACTTTTTTCGGTTCATTTGATGAATTAACAATTCATCAACTGTGTTAACTTATTACTATTCGAATGTCAAAGCACATGCTATGAAAAAGCTGTAAAGGTACCCAAAAGTGGCACCAATGTTTGCGAGTTAGGTTGGAAAAAAAGAACGTTCGTACTAATACACTCGCTTCGCAAAAGTAAACAAAAGAAATGAACTAAATTTAAAAAGAAATCAGAAGTCGAACCGTGAGTAAGTAAACTTGAGCTTGAACAACTTCTAAGACTTTTCCTGAAAAAAAAACAATTCATCAGCAGCTAATTAAGAGTCTGAACTACATTCATGGACTCTTAATTACAATTGCTATGACTTTCACTAAAACAGCCCAAGAAATGAGGCAGATTTTTTATGCTACAAAATTAAGGATACACTGAACGCTCAACGCGGCGAATAACTACTCGATTTCAGGTATATTTTCAATACTCAATTCGAATAGTAA